AAAATATATTAAATCTTTCACTTATCTCTTTACCAGTAACCCCCACACCATCAAATATTATTTCACTTTTAGCTTCATGGTTTTTTTTTGCCGTTTACAAGCTCCTTTAATGTTTTCCACATTCTTTTTGGATCATTCTTACAATCATCTATTTTTTCCTGATAATAATTTTGTTTGGTAATTCTGATTAATGCTACGACTCTATTTCTTTGTTGTTTGAAATCATCCCAGTCAGTATCAGTTTTAGTAAATATAGCCTTTTTGTAATATTGATCTCTTTTTTTAATTTCATTCGCAATGTCTTCATTCCACCATAATTTATTTCCCCAAACATCCTTCGTATTAATTGACTTTTCTGGAGCAAACTGATCGAGTGCAGACAATACATTAGTTATTAGAATATCAGCATTGTTACTTACATCTATAGAGGAACTTGACGGCCACTGCATATCCATAAGTTTCATTTGAAATCCTGTCACATCCATTGTATTGTACTTTCTATAGGTTTTTGTGAGTGTCGTCTCATTGTTTCTACCCAGATCAGCTACAATTATCGAATGATCTGTAATCTTTGGAGTTGGGAGCACCTTGCAACTAATGTCTTTTTGATTTGTAAGTACTAGGTCAATCCTAGTAGATGTCGATTTTGTAATCCTTGTGTATTCGTTTATTAGCTGATAGGTACCATTTTTAATAATAATATCATTTAATTTCATAGAGTAAAAGTTTATACTTGCCAAATCTATATTAAAGTCTCCCAATATCACAAAGATAGCATCAGTCTCAATGCTATCTAAAAACGCATCCAACTCCTCCAAAAATTCCGCATGACTTGCACTAGGTGAATGGTACAGACAATAGATGTAATATTTCTGGTTTTCTATAGTTATTTGTATTCCTGTTAACCATATATTCTTGTTTTTTTCTTCTTTAATAATTTCTTTATAACGATACCTTTTTTGTATATAAATTGATGTTCCTCCTGTATGTCTACTTGAAGAAAAACCAACAACTGAGTTGTAGCCATCAATATCTATTTCATTTGATGCAAAATCTGAGGTAACATGGGTCTCCGATAAACACATAATAATTGGCTTTTTCTGACTTGCAATCCATGATAACTGTGTTTTATGTGTGCTAAATCCTTGAATGTTTAGGTACAGAATGGTTGGACTTGATTGCTATATTTTACAATTACCATGTGATAATTCAGGATACCTTATTTTTTCTTGTAATCGCTCTACTACTTTCTTATAGGCTTCACAATTCCTATCATATGCTTTATGTTTCAAATCAATATTGGAAATTTTTAAAACTTCTTCTGCATATTTGCAGTTTACACAACAAACTATACGTGATTTACAGTCTTTTACGTGATGCTCACCAGCGCATTGCTGACACGTGGGTGTCTCTTTTTTGCACTCTTTTGCAAGGTGACCAAACCTCCAACAATTGTAACACTGTTTAACATTTACGCTTTCTCTAAAAAAATAGCTCTTCCAACCAATATGCAACTTTTCATTTTTATTAATGTGTTCGTAGGTATGCACATCCATCTGGAATATAATATTTACCATTCCTTTTCTGTTTTTTATAGTATGGATTACCTTTAGTTCTCTTACACTTGGTTCTGTTGTTATACCATTTTGTACTCCAATTTTTTCAATTAGAAGATCTTCATCTTCTATATCCTTTTTATCTAAGTTAAACACTATTATTCTGGGATTCATCTTTTCAGGTACTTTTACATCATAGGACTGGCCCAATGACATTTTTATATTATTACAGACATCCTGTACATTTTCTTTTCCATTACCCGTACATCTTATAGCAACTCCTCCATCTCTAATATACTTAACTACTGAAACACCAACTCCCAAGTTGCATGGGTTGATTTTATCTTCAATATTCCTTCTGGTTATTTCACTTGTTTGATTTGAGTCGATCGTCTTATAAATATCATTCTTGTTTTTTCTTAATATATGTATTTTCAAATGTTTTACAGCCCGAATCAGATAGTCTGATCCAACGCCTAATAAAATGGGTAATCAACTCTGTTGAGCCCCTCCAAAGTTATGCCACAGGTCTTCTCGGAGCCGCTATGGAAATACCGGAAATAGCAGCTCGGTTCAGAGAGCAGAATGCACAATTAGTGCCCCTTTTACTTCAGAGACTTAGAAGATTAAAAACCAGTTCTGGATTTGCTCCACCCACTAGCAGACCTTTCGCCCATCTGTCTGCGATGAGATCACCGCCTTATAGAGGAGATGGAAGGATTATGATGACAGTACGACGTAAGTATCTAAAAAATATACTTTGTAGAAGGTAACTTCCCTTATAAAACCGTTTTTGTGAGACATTACAAAATGTATTTATATTTTTAGCTCGAGAAAATGGTATTCATTCAGCAGAGAATTCACAGACTGGAAGTCCTTCCACTGCAAGAGAATCAACAGTAAGTCATATTCATTTTATTTTAACCTGGTATAACCTAATTGATACTTCACTTTTTACCATTTTTTTTTTACTTACAGGATCTAGAAAATGACAGGAAAAGGAAAAAGAGCACAGAAACACAAACACCTGTAAACGTACGAAACGACATTTTAGAGGTAGTTGCACATTTACAACATTTGTTTACTATTACAGTGAAACTTGGATAATTCGAATCTCAGGGGACCGCTAAAAAAATTCGAATTATCCAAAAATTCGAGTTATCCAAAAATCTACAAAAAGCAATGATACTTACAAAAGCATCTGCAAACGATAAAATTCAACACTTTTGCAGATGTTTTCGTTCCTATTCTTACCCGAATTTTGTAAATCGAAAAAAAAATGAGCTAACAAAATTCGGCCAAGAATACCAATTAAAACATTTACAAGCTATAAAAATAGTCAATTATTGTAATTATGGCAGGTGCTCTCATTGTTATTTTCGGCCAATCTTGGTCGATAAAAACCGCACAGTGAGAACGTGTCATTAAAACAATAAAAATCATTTTGTCCCAAAAAAATTATTGAAAATAAGCACATTTGTTACAATTAACAAAAAAGACAGTTTTTAACTGTTAAAGAGTTTAACTTTTTTGAAAGAAATCCTAAATTTTTAGCTGCTTTTTAGAACTCAGCATATGACAATGGCAATGAGTTCTAAGGTGAACTAAAAATAGAGTCACTTACATCATTTTTACTTTCAAAGTACCGTCTAAGTTGTGTAATATGGTTCGTTGCTTCGGCTGCACTGCAACATATTCATCCACGTTGACAAAATCTTCATAAGAGATGGCAGGATCAGAAATGACGTCCTGCCAGCCGTCAACTGAAAGCAGCTCTTCTGTTAAAGTGTCCGTTAGAGTTTTCTGCGTTCTCCTCCTTTTTTACGAAACCAGCTTTTTTAAAACAGTGTTTGATCGTTTCCGTTGTGTTACTTGCCCCCTAGCTTTCTTACACATTCGAGAGGCTTGAAAAATGCCCGGGTCCATAGGCTGAAGAACTGAAGTCATGTTGGCAGGAAACCAATAACTTTTACATTTTCCATTAATGGGATGGAAATGTAAATGTTCCATGCCGTACAGTTGTCAATAAAAAAACTAACTTTTCTGATTTTTTATGAACTTTTTGTTTAATTTCATCAGCCATTTCTCTAAAAGATCCCTAGCCATCCAAGCTCCTGCGCTGCTCACATATTCCACTGGTTTTGACTTGACATTCTTAAAACAACACGGATTAGCCGACTTACCAATCATCAGTAGAGGTACCACTTCTGATCCGTCCATGTTTGCACCAATTAGTATCTCTTTTTTTGCTTAGTTTTCCTCCGTGACATTTTTCATTTTTAAATGCCAATGTTTTGACACGAGTGCATTAAAAAAAGACCTGTCTCGTCAAAATTGAAGATATCTCTTTCATCAACATCCTGAATCATCTCCTGAAGTTTTTTTTTCCATTTGTTGGCTTCTTGTTCATTAACAGCCTCACTTTCTCCACAAATGGATTTGAATAAAATTTTGTTGCGTTCTTTGAAGCTGTCTAGCCACCCTGCACTCGATTTAAAGTTGTTTTTTCCCATTTCAACAACAAATTGTTCAGCTTTGCTTCTTATAAGGCGACCACCCACAGGAATCTCCTTATCCTTATCATGTTCGAACCACTTTAAAACACATTTGGATTTTCTATCTTCTTAACCTTTATCATTCTTTACCGCACTCACTTCAGTTTTTTTTTATTCTTCAAGTAGGTATATCCCTCTACTTGAAGAAGTAGGTGTGAATTATCATGTGTTAGGAGGAATTCCAAAGTCCTTGGTAGTCTCAGATTTTTTCCTCGTTCCATTTTATACTTCTTTAATTGCTGCTATTTTTCCAATAACGTCAAAGTTTTGTATCTTTGAAATTTACTAAAGGGGCATGCTAAGTGCAGGAGAATTTAGGTGCCAGCTATCTCTTCGCAGAAATTTCCAGCATGAAATTGGCATTTTAGCTTGTAGAGAAGTTCGAATTATCCAAAATAAATTCGAATTATTAACGACTTTTTACCATTATTTATATAGAAAATGCTAGGGACCAGAATAAAAATTCGAATTAAAGAAAATTTCGAATTAGAGAAGTTCGAATTAAGCAGGTTCCACTGTATTACTTTACTCTGTTATAATTCCAGACCGTCGATCCTGAAATATTACCTCCTGCGAAAAAACGACAACGTGTAGAGAGATCCAATTCAACGACAGATCAATTTCCAGAGCCAGTATACCTGGGAAGTCCCCAAAAATCCAGTACTCTCTTCGCTGAATCTAGCAACTCTTCCTGGGCGGAACTGGAGAGTTTTATGATAGGCACGCTTCAAATTTTCCCGCCAAACCTCGCCACTAGACAGATACTAATATTGAGGTTAGTGAATAGTGAATATTTACATAAAAAATTCTTTCAACTTATTATTAATTAAGTGATTTTTTCCGTTGTTGCTGTTTGTGATAAAAGCATGGAAATTTGTTTTCTTTATAGATATTTGACAGCTATAGGAGACCAACAAGAGTTCCTTAGTCATGTCTTCGAACACGACGCCTTAGAATTAATATTATGTTACGTCAATGTCAGAGGTACCAAAGAAGCACGACTAGCATTTGAAGCCTTGAAGTATCTTTCAGCCTTGCTCTGTCACAAGAAGTTTTCCATAGAATTTATCCAGTGTAAAGGACTAGAGGTAAGTCTATTTTTTGAAAAGAAGCATGTTGCTTATCTTTAGAGATACCACAATTTTTTTTAAATACATAGCATAAATGACTGCATTTGCAATTTTGTGGATGTATGTTTTATCCATCATCAAGGATGCAAGAACTGCTGTTCATTAGACTGAAACAAGTGCAAAAAACGTTCTAAATCATAGACGCCTGCATACTTTTACCCTATTCTTAATATTTGCCCTTTTTTTATTTCAGATAGTACTAGAAAACATTCCTCGCCCTTCCATAGCAGCCACTGGCGTATCGATGTGTTTTTACTACTTGGGTTACTGTGAGGAAGCCATGGAAAGGGTGTGTTTGTTGCCAAAACATGTCATTAGCCATTTAGTCAAGTAAGTAGTGGTTTAAAACAGTGCAAGTACATATTTTTCTAATTTCGAACACGTTTTAGGTATGCCCTTTGGTTGTTAGAATGCGCTCATGACTCTGGAAGGTGCCAATCTATCATGTTCTTTGGTTTGACGTTCCAATTTAAAGTTATCGTGGATGAGTTTGATCTACAGGATGGATTGAGGAAACTGCATAATGTGGTAAGTGTTTACTAAGTATATAAACATGCATTTTTTTTTTAAACTGACACACTAGCTTAACCATTCATTATATCCTGGATGTAATTAATTGCAATCAGACCAGTAGTTACATACACAGCTGAGACAATGTACCTGATAGATAAAGTTGAAGAAAGGTTAAGAATATTTAAAAGGAAAATCCTCAGAAGATTTATTTTGGGCTCGATAGGAATGAAAAATGGAGAAAGGAGACGAATGAACCATGAAATAAGAGACATCATGAAGGGAGAAGATATAGTTAAATTTATTAAAGTGCAGAAACTGAGATGTCTGGGACATACAGAGGTTACCAGATGAAAGCCAGAAACTGAAAAACCAAGGGGACAACTGAAAGTGAGAAACTAGAGAGACTTATGCACAGATCTAAATAGGTGGAAGAAAATTTTAATGAAGGATAAGTCATACACCAAGCTTTGACAATACACAAGAAGAATGTGAAGTGATTTACTGCAATAAGCGAATCAAAGAGCACTGCTTTGAGTAAGAACGGCAAACATTCCGTCAGGAATGAAAGGCCTTGATGATGATGATGATGTTGACAACGATTCAAACTCATACATAAGATGTTCCTCTATGTCCAAAAGACTAAACCTAGTCACTAAAACATCGTTAAAGCTATGAACAGGTTCAGTTATCCAAACAATTTAGTGATTTAAGTTTTTTATTACTCAGAAAATAGCCGGGCTTGGAGATGTTAGAGTGTATAAGTCTACAAATTTATTTCTGTATACCTATTATTTATTCCAGTTTATAGAACCTTAGTATGAATACTTTTTGTTGTAGATCGCTACGTTGCCAATTTTACATCCAGAGTCTGATAGAGGATTACTGAATGAAGAAGTAGAAATATCTTATCGACAAATCGTAAGGCACGTTTGTGTGGCTTATCGAAGATACCTAGAAGTCCATTTATACCAAAAAGTAGAGTCGATCAGACGGACGCAGTTGAGACCAAACGAAAGACTGGCAACAACGCTTCAACCATCATTTAAGGTAAGGGAATCACATTCTTAGGTGAAGTTTAATGCAGAGATTTATCAGTCAATCAAAATCTTCAAATATACTGTTCGTTGCAAGCACTTTCAGATTAAATCTTATAGGTATAGTTGTATACAGGGTCGGACTTACATACTGATACTTTTTATCAAAATTACGGCAATCTCACAAAGTAAAAGAAAAACACATATAAGTAATACTTTTATATCAAAGTATATATTTACCATAGTGAAAAAATACAGAAAAAAAAATTTAAACAACTATCTATATTTAAATCGGTATCACTATCATCGCTATCGTTTAAATCTATAACCACTCTATTTATAAGGTTTTGGAACTGTAAGTATTTTTATTATTATTTATATTATTATTATATTAATTATATTTATATTATTATTATTCTTCTTCTTAACGTGCCCTATCAAGTCCCATTGACGTTGGCGATTAACATGGCGAAAATGTCTCTGTCTCGAGCTATTCTAAATAGTTGCTCAGCTTTCTTTATTCCTGTCCACTCTCTGGTATTCTTCAACCAGGAAGCCTGCTTTCTACCAATTCCTCTGCGTCCTTCGATTTTACCCATCATAATAAGTTGAGGAATATTATATCGGTCTCCCCTTGCTACGTGTCCAAAATAGGCCATCTTTCTACATTTGATGTTATCAAGCAGCTCGCGAGCAGCATTTGCTCTCTCAAGGACTGCCACATTTGTCGATTGACTGCCTCCAGACGATTAATGGTGGATATTTTTAATGTCCATGTCCGTATAAGAGGACTGACCAAATGTAGCATTTAACCATGCGCTTTCGAAGTTGAAGTTGCAAGTTATCATTACAGAAGAATGACCTCATTTTTAAAAATGTCGTGCGGGCTATCTCGATTCTACATTTTATCTCTTGATCTGGATCTAGTTGTTCAGTAATATGGCAACCAAGATATTTAAAACTGGACACTCTTTGAATTATATGACCATCAACATATAATCGTGCATCTTGATGTGCTAAACGGCTAAACACCATGTGTTTTGTTTTTGCACAGTTTATGTTTAGGCCAAACTCTCTTCCCACTGTATCAATGGCATTTAAAAGGCATTGTAATCCATTCATGTCATCACTTAAAATAACTGTATCGTCTGCATATCTGATTGTATTTATCAGAATTCCATTAACTTTCACGCCCCATTCCAAATTATACAGCGCTTCTTTAAATATTCTATCTGAATATAAATTAAATAACAGCGGGGATAGTATACAACCCTGTCTGACACCTCTTTGTATTTTACATATTTCTGTTGATTTTCCGTTTATGCAAGCTGTCGCTGTTTGACGCCAGTATAACTTTTCTATGAATCGTATGTCTTGACTATCAACTCCTTTATCTTTTAATATTGTAATTAATTTGTGATGCTGTACTCGATCAAAGGCCTTTTCATAGTCAATAAATACAGCAAAGATGTCTTTCCTTTGATCTCGACATTTCTGCAGTAATACATTGAGTGCAAAGAGGGTGTCCCGAGTTCCCAGTCCATTTCTGAAGCCAAATTGTGTTTCATCCTGATCTTCTTCACATTTATCTCTGATTCTACTGTGGATGATGCGTAGAAATATTTTCAAAGTGTGGCTCATAAGGCTTATCATTCTATAATCGTTACAGTTTTTCGGACGTTGTTTTTTTGGTAGTGTTATGAATTCAGACTTAAACCAATCTTCAGGGATATCACCAGTTGAATAAACATCATTGAAAAGTTTGACCAGTATTCCAATGTTCTCCTTATTTATAAGCTTTAACATCTCGGTCGGTATGTTATCAGGGCCAACGGCTTTCTTGTTCTTTGCTAAGTTTATAGCATGCAGTATTTCTGATTTTAGTATTTCTGGTCCTTCACCTTTAACTAAAGTCTCCGGTTCTTCGGGTCTATCGTCATTATACAGCTCACTTATATAATTACACCAGGTTGTTCGAATTTCATGTTCGTCTATTATCATTTTTCCCGACGAACCGGTTATAGTATGTGGAGTTTTCTTATGATAAAGACCAGCTACTTCTCTAACTTTTTTAAACATGTTGTAAAATGATTTATAGGAGAATTATTATTTTTCCTCAAATTACTTATTGAGACCACAACAATTCTATTGGATTCAGTAAACAATAGTAAGGAGTTAGTCTTAATACTTTATGGTCATAATTCTCAGCTAGCTTATCGGTAACATAATTTTTTTCACATTTAACCAATTTTAATAGTTCCACAAGTTGTTTTTTTTTGTGTAAGAATCCATAAAATATATTTCATGTTTTGAAAAAAAAAATTCTTGAATTTCAACTTTGCTTGAATTAGTGTTTGGAATTCTGAAAAGTACTGTCCATATCTTGATGATAAAGTAGCCAGTATTTCCCAAGCTGGTATTTCCCAAGATCTAAGCCAGTATTTCCCAAACTGGTGGTCGCGACCCCCTGGGGGGTCGCCATGAGGTACTAGGGGGGTCGCTGAACATTTCCAAAATAAGACAAAAGCACCACTTTGTTCGATCATGTATTTTTATTTTAACAACGCCGTAAATAGAAATTAACAATTAATTATCAGACGAAATATAAAACTAAATATTAAAGTCCGTAAAAATAAAAGAGTAAAACAAAGTCAAATATCATAATCTTAATGAGAGCTATGCGCCTGTTTCTGTGAAACTAATCTTTCAAATCTAGGATGTGTGTTTGAGACACACACAATTATATATTTTCAAGTACGAGACGATTTCTAACTCTTGTTTTAATGGCAGTCATAGACGAGAAACTTAACTCACACAAATATGATGTTACAAATGGAACCAAACATTTTACAGCTTCACTCGCCAACTGGGGGTATTCCTGCATCTTTTCGGTCCAAAATTGGTCCGAGTTCTGGGAAAAAAATTGGAGCTTCAACATTCCATCACTTGATATTTCAATAAGTTTTTCTTTCATGTTTATTGGTATTTCAACATGCTGAAAGGAATCGGCTAAAAACGGATTTAGTATCCATCTGCAACTGTCGTAACTGTCACAGAGCTGTTGTTTTAAATTGAGCAAAGTAACATCCATGTCAGCAAAAACTTGTTCAAAATTTGTAGCACTGTAATTGGATACATTTTCCATAATTTCCTGAAGGCACTGGAATGAATCGAGTTATTTTTTGCCAAGTGAGGTCGACCATAAATCGATTTTTCTTAGAAACGCCTTAATTTTATCTGTGTCTGTAATTATATTAATGTCGCGACCTTGTAAATTACTGTTCAAAATATTTAATTGCTCGAAAATATCAGCCAGGAAACCTAGTTTCAGAAGCCAAATAGGATCGGAAAATTGATTTTCATATGGGGACTTCTCATCTTTCAAATACATTAAAAGCTCTGCTCTTAAGTGAAATACTCTTTTTAAGACGTTGCCCCTTGAAAGCTACCTTACTTCGGTGTGATAGAGAAGATTTTCAAATAAAGCACCCATGTCTTCGCAAATTTTTCTAAAAATACGGGTCTGCAAAGCTTTTCCTTTAATGGAATTTACAACTTTAATGATGGTTTTCATAACACAGTCTATTTCAGGAGGTAAAGCTTTGGACGCAAGAGCTTCTCGATGTAAAAAACAATGTCTCAATTTGGCATTAGGCATTATTTCTTGTAATTTGACGACAAGACCAGATTTATGTCCTGTCATAGCTTTAGCGCCGTCTGTGCATATAGCAATACATTTACCCCAGTCAATATCATATTTACTTGTACGTTTCACAAAAGTGTCGAGTAAACATTTTCCAGTGGTATTGGTCTCCAATGGGGAACAAAATAAAATATCTTCTTGAATGCCATTATTTGTATCATATCTTACAAACGTAATGAATTGGGCACAGTTAGATATATCTGTGGATTCGTCCATTTGAAGAGAGAAGTACGTGCATTTATTAAGATTTTCCACAACTTGCGCTTGAATATCTTCTGCCATATCACTAATTCTTCTTTGGATAGTATTATTTGACAGAGGTATTGTATTTAATTTTGCAGCCTCTCTTTCCCCACACATATGTACGATTTCAACAGCTGCTGGAAAAATCAGATTTTCAGCAATTGTGTGCGGATTACTAGTTTTGGCAACACGATAAGCAACTTTATAACTTGCTAATAATGCTTTTTCATTAGTAGTGGTTGCCAAGGGAAAATTGTCTTGCTGTTTGTGAAGGATACTATTCTGGCAGAAGTACCTACTACTAATTACTAGTGGGACAGATCGCAATCATTAAAATAATTGTATTAAAATAAAATAATTGTTTTTGATTTAAACGTAAACAGTAAAGTAAAATTAAATTTGAGAAACCATCAGATAATTGTAAATTAGGCACGCTATTTCTGTCAAATAATATTGAATAATAGAGTGGGGGGAAATTTGGGGTTCGCGAACAAATTTTTTAGCAAAAAGGGGTCGCGGTTTAGATAAGTTTGGGAAACTCTGATCTAAGCGACAATCACTTACTCTCTTAGCAGAGAGTAATAAAGCATCGTCTACCCATTCTGATTTTCCCCCACAATGTAAAATGCAAATTGCGTCACCAATGTTCTTCCTTCTAAAGGGAAGAACATTGGTAACGCAATTTTTACTCCCATCGGTCCAACATTCTCGATGGGCACCAGAATCGTTTCTTTCTTTTTTTTTCGCATCTATACCGTCTTTTATAATTGCGTACACAGTGGATCGTGGCACTGCCAGGAATTCTGCTCGGAATCCTGTGTTTTTTATGAATTAATTAATCGGTAAATATGATTAACCTTCCAATACCGGGAGGGGCGAATTCTCGACCCAGGTCTAACGTTTTTATTAATATCTGTAATTAAGTTTAATAAATCGAAAACTTATTTCGATCGAAAACGTAGTTTACGGATTTATTATCAGATGTCGCTATTAGGGCGAAATACGTATAAGCAGATCCACAGACGCATTGTACGTGAAATTAAATTTTGACTGTATTTTTCTTTTAATAAATTGCTTTGACGGTTTGGGACATTGGTAGTTGATGTATTAAGGTCACAAAGAAGTAGTAAAACCCAAAATACCGTGAACAGAAAATTAAATATTCCCGTCGGTTTTCGCGGAAATGTATGTGGGGCAAGAATTCGGATGGGTGTTTAATCTTTTCGTAATAAAGACATGATTTGCTTGAAATCATTCGATTACAAATATATATAAGTCAGCAGGTTTGGTTAATATTTGCTAATCTTTTAGGCTTGCAAATCATCCCCTGAAGAAATTCAACAACAGATCGACATGCTGTTTCAAATCATGCCGTACAGAAGCCACTGGCATCCCGTGGATCAGCTGTTGAAACTGGGTGGCATCACGTTACTTTTGAAAATTATAGCGTTTGCCTATGAGTGGAACTATAGCGGACGAGCAGAGACTGTTAGGAGTGCTCTAGACGTTTTGGCAATATCTTGCGTGATGCCCAAAGTTCAGGTGTTGTTCTGTGATAGGGTGGACTTGCCAGAAGAAACTCTAACTGTCGGTAAGTTTTGAAATCAACATATACAACTATAAACTTACCAAAAACAACTGTTCGAAAACTATGCGTATGTGTAAAAATATAAACAACATTGATATTTCTTACAGATTTAATAGTTGTTTTATCATAAAGTACTGTGTTATATTATTTGAAATTTTTATTAAGTTGAAATACTTTGCACTATTTAAATTGTAAGAACTTTAAAATTGTACTAATTATTCGTTTTCACCTTTATTTTAACGGTGTCTGCCACAATAAATTATAAATAAATTATGAAATTATATTTTTTTATGAAAACTGTAATTATCTTTTATATCAGTTCTATCGTGAACTTCACTTAGTACACTATAATTATTATAAGTAGACTTCGGCAAATATGCATATTGCATATTGTGCATATTTTATGCAAATATTTCATATTTTAGCATATTTGTATAAAAGTTTGCATAAAGTGCATAAAACTTCAGATTTTTATACTGTATTTGAAAATTTTTAAACATATCAATTTATTTCAATTCTTGTATAAAATTTTGTAGTCATTTTAATCAAGAAATGATCTAAGTACGTAATCTCTACAGGTACAAAACATTTACAATTTCAAAGAAGATCAATTTAAGTAGCCCTCAACATTCTTAGAAAGTCTCGGTCACTGAGGCATTCAGTTATTGGATAATCGCTAAGGGTTCGCTCATTTGCAGTTTATGATGTAATCCCCAAATCTATCTACAATTTATTGTATCTTAACAGCAGGTAAACGGCTAATAGTTTTGTTCCTAATTTAGGGATTTTCCAAAATCTCCCAGTTTATTGAATTAGGTACCTAAACATTTCTAATTTGATGCTCAGATTTGTAAATCATTTTTGTTTTGATATTCAAAGCGTAAACACTCGTTGTGCGTAACAAAAAGGAAGATTGTGATTTTATAATGCCTAAAACAACCAGTGCTTCAACTTGGATTAAACCTTATAAAGAGCTGTCTATGGATATGGGAAAATCTACTGTTCAGTCTGTGGCAAAATTGTAAGTATCTAATATTTTCTATTAAATATCTAATATTTCACACATACACGGTGTTTCCAAATGACACGTACAACGTTTGACTGTAGATACTTCTCGAAAAATTGAACAAAACGATATAGTTAATGAGGGGTCAAACTTATTTACTTTTCGAGATACAGGGTGTTAAAATTAAAAAAAATTAAATTCTTTTAGTTAATAACAACAATAACTTTAACTATAACTATAACTATAAACGTATTTACTTGAAATTTAGTACTCTAGTAGTATTTAGTAGGTTGTTTTTAAATGAAAAATAGCTTCCTTTAGTGAGAAAAAATTGTCCATGGTACAATACAATGGTGTGTATTTAGAAAAAATTTTCACCTTTACTTTTTTTTATGAAGTCAGCTATTCTAAAACACAATTATTTTTATTGTAATTGAATTAACAAAAAAAAAACTTGTTGAATTTTAAAATAAGTTATATGATGTACTAATGGTTAGTAACAAAAACTAATTTGTGGATTAATACTGCATTTAAAACACTTAGCGAGTGTTTTTTTTTACAAACCAGTTATTTGATTAACCAAAAACACCTTGTATATTTTTATATTTTAAAGGTTGGGTTAAAATAAAGGTTTTTATTTTTATTTATAGATAGCATGTGAGAAGAAATTTCAGATAGACCAACATGTGAGAACTGCTTCACACATTGCAAAAAAAGGAAAAATAGGAGGAAAACATCAAACTTCAATGGCTAAATGTTTCCAATCTACTTCAAAAAAAATTAGATGAGCAAGAAACTTTTAATGAAGACTTGTGTCGCGCATTAGTGTCTGCAAACATACCGCTTTCAAAATTAGCAAATGTAAATTTTAGTTCGTTTCTAAAAAAATATTGCAAACTTAATGTTCCAAGTGATCGGTCTCTAAGAAGAAATAATGTGAACGGGCTATACTCGTCGGTGTTAATTAATATTAAGGAAGAAATTGCAGATAATTATTTTTACATATCTGTAGACGAAACCACTGATTCCTCAGGAAAGTATATTGCTCATTTATTGATTGGTGTTTTTAAAGAAGATACCTTACCAAAATCTCATCTTATTTCATGCCAGCAACTTGAGAAAACAAATGCTTTAACAATTTCGCGTTTTATACAAGAAACATTAGCAACTTTTTTTCTTCCGACAACTATTCCTTCTAATAAATTACTGCTTATTTTATCGGATGCTGCTCCTTATATGGTGAAAGCAGGACAAAATTTAAAAATATTTTTCCCAGATTTAATACATGTTACTTGTGTAGCGCATGGATTAAACAGAGTTGCAGAGGAAATACGAAAAAAGTTTCCTCTTGTAAATATCATGATATCCAGTGTCAAAAAAGTATTTCTTAAATCTCCTATAAGAATTCAACTTTATAAAGAAATGCTACCTAACATTCCTCTTCCACCACAACCTATTTTAACGCGATGACGTTAACAGATGAAAGTTCCCAATCTCTTTTGGATTCTAAACAAACTTTTCAGAGTAACTTGCTTCAACAAGAACTTTCATTTATAAAATCAAATTTTAGTTTTGTTCAAAAAACAATTACTCAGAATCACCAAAACTGTCATTGTTCGAAAGTACAGCAATAATAAAAGAATTTGCGTCATGTTGCCGGAACGTTAGAGGTAATATTGGAAAAGATATTTTAAAAAAATTTGAAGCTACTATGGAAAAAAATAAAGGTTACCATATTCTTTCTGAAGTAGTCAGTGTTCTAGCTGGAAATATTTCGGAAACAATTAATTTAGAACCAAATGTTTTGGTTAGTTTGAAAAATGCTTTCGTTACATCAGTTGATGTTGAACGAAGTTTTTCCATATATAAATATATGTACTCAGACAGAAGCCACAAGTTTTTGTTAGAAAATTTTGAACACCACTTGGTCATTTATTGTTACCATAATTCTAAATAAGTTTATTCATACTTAAAAATGATGTAGTTACTTAAAATAAATGTAAATCTTAATGAATAGTAGGAAATATTTAGTTATGTACACTTTTTTTTTAAATAAAATTGTTACTATTTTACGATTTTTTTATTTATTTGTATGCATATTTTGTAAAATATTTGCATATTTTCGGGTAAACACGTGCATATTTATGCGCATATTTTCTACATTTTTATTTGCATATTTGCCGAAGTCTAATTATAAGTATAGTATCCAAACTAAACTTTGACATTGTCGAATTTTTGGCAATTTGCCTGTTCTCTCTCTTACTCGCTGACTCCTACTCATTCTATATGTCTTTAGAGCTGTCTCTTTTTCTCGTTTTTTCTATTCCCACTAACTCTTTCTCGCTCTCTATATTTCTCACCATAACTCTCTTTTCTAATAGCTTCTCTTCCTTTCTTGCCATCTCTCTCTTCCCTCCATTTCTCGCTGATATCCTCTTCTTTTTTCCTGTCGCCTTTTTTGCTGTTTCAGTTTTTTTTCTTCGCCATTTAACTCGTTCATTTTTCTTTATCTATGCCTCTCTCTCTCTTTTCTTTATCTATGTCGAATATTTGCATAAGATTATTTTTACTTAGTTTTAACAAGCCTTAATTTTTAGGTATTAACATCATATTGGGCGCTGCAGAAGGCGAGATTGTTGCAGACGCCGATGTACAAAAAGCTGCATTAAGGGTTATAGGAAACTGCGTCTGTGCTCCAATAAGTAGGGTAAGTTTCTCAGATATTGTTATTACTTCACCAAATTTACCAGCTGCTTTGGAAGAAGGTGTTACTGGACCAAAAAATCCCGGACAGTATTTTTTGTACTTAAAATGTTACTCTATTTTACCACAGCGTAGATCCAGTGAGATTACGAAATAAGTACTTTAAGTTAAGTATCTTAAGTTTTTGAGGAAAAAGGTTAGAACTTAATCATGATAACGTTTTTGTTACATCGAAATTGAAATTGAATTAAAAATTTCATGAACTTGCTGAAAACCAAACACATAAAGACTCAGTGCGATCCAGAAGTAGTAAACAACAAACAAATTGATTTCTTAGTTGTTTCCATGGAGCTAAAACTCAATGAAAAACTGAGACTCTTGGATTCTCGCATCCTAAATAAGATTTCTTATAACGCCTAAATTGTTTCAATAAATTTTTTAATACTAACTATTTTCAAATACATTAAAACGTAACAATTGATAGTTTAGAACATTTTTTAACATAGTATTTACGTTATTAAGTGTTCAAAATGTGCTCAATTTGTGAGTTGACAGCACCCTAATCGATGGTAGAAGGCGTCTACCACATTTCTCCATGATTGTCTAGAAATTATTCGAGATTCATTGATAATTCGTTGCCTTAGCTCTGCAAGACTTGCTGGTTAAGTTTTGTAAACTGATTATTTCAAGTATCACTAATAAAAATAATCTTTAGGATTGAAATCGGGTGAACGTGGAGGCCATTCAATTCTACCTTGTCTACCAATTTATCGTCCAGGAAATATCTCATCTAAATATCGCCGAACATTTACACCAACTATCTGACGTTAAATTTCTTTCGACAAAAAATGACCCAATTGAATAAGTAACTACTATAACTGACCGTACATTTAATTTTTGTGGTCTTTGAGTATGGTTTTCACGCATTCAGTCTTCAGTGTGAATTTACGTCACACCAGTACCTTAAATTGTGTCGATTTACACTTCCACACTGTGTAAAAGTTGCTTCATCGGAAAAACATATTCTGTTAAAATTTTAATAATTTTAATAATTTTCAATTTTATCAATCATTACCTCAGTAAACTCTAATCTACGACCAAAGTCATCTTCACTTAATTGTTGCAATAAGTTAATTTTGTATGATTTAAATCTATTTTTACGTAATTAACGTAAGACTGAAGAATGACCTACATCATGTACTTGTGCAACCCTGCCTGGGGATGTATGTGGATCTTCAACAAAACTTTGCTTATATCTGAAGTTTTGTTGTCATTGATAACTCGTTTCGGTCAACCTGATCGGTATCTATCTTTTACTTCTCCAGATTCCTCAAATCGCCTTAAAGTTTTTTGTACCGTCGTCTTATGAATAGGCGAACGGTTTAGAGAACGGCATTTATGAAGCAATTTAAATTGCAGAACTTTTTGAAGCACAACAACTATCATTTTTAGTTCATAATTTAAATGGTGAACAAATGTCAAAATCACAGCATTCTCCATTTAAATATTTAAATTTATTAAAATCTACATATTTTGTTCTGTTTTATGTATTTAAGATCTTTCAAACTACATAAAATCAAGTGAACATATGGTTGAACTCGTATTGAATAGCTGAACTCGTGTGAAATTCACATTGAATGCGTGAAAACCATACTCAAAGACCACAAAAATTAAATGTCTGGTCAGTTATAGTAGGTACTTATTTAATTGGGCCATTTTTTATCGAAAGAAATTTAACGTCAGATAGTTGGTGTAAATGTTCGGCGTTATTTGGATGAGATATTTCCCGGACGATAAATTGGTAGACAAGGTAGAATTGAATGACCTCCACGTTCACCCGATCTCAATCCTAAAGATTATTTTTATTAGAGATACTTGAAAAATTCAGTTTACAAAACTTAACCAGCCAAGTCTTGCAGAGCAAAGGCAACGAATTATCCATGAATCTCGAATAATTTCTAGACAATCATGGAGAAATGTGGTAGACGCATTCTACCATCGATTAGACTGCTGTCAACTCACAAATGGAGCACATTTTGAACACTTAATAACGTAACTATTATGTTAAAAAATATTCTAAACTATCAATTGTTACGTTTTAATGTATTTGAAAATAGTTAGTATTAAAAAATGTATTGAAACAATTTAGGCGTTGCCAGACTTCTGTTTTATGTATTTAAGACCTTCCAGACTACATAAAATCATAAGTGTTGCATATGGTTGAACTCGTATTTAATAGGAGATTCCAATAATGACTGAACATACAGGGTGATGCATTTGAAATACGAAAGTTACTAGTAATATAAGAGAAACTGAAAATCTGGAAACATTGCAAATACCAAATATGGAATCTCCGTATCCCAAAATAGGCGTATCTTAAATTTTGTATAATTATGTCTAGTAATTTACGAGATAATTAGCCGTTTCCAGACTTTTGGACCACTCTGTATATACTAAATGACCCAAAACTCATAATTAAATTAAGGAAAATTCAGACTGGTTATACTGAATTATTTTCGTCACCAAAACATTAAAATAAATCCGTAATCGTTCTACTTAGTGACCGCCATTCTACTAAATAGTCCAAAGAAAAATCTCGTAGAAGAACGCCCTACTGAAGCATTTAATTTTTCTTAGTGTAATGTGTTTTGCTTTATAATAGTGAACTGTACATTACTATTGTTGTATTATTGCTTATATTCTCTAAATTTCTTACATTCTGTTCATAAATACGTTGCTTATTTACTAATATTACTCTTTGGTATAGGTTGGCGGTTCACTGGGTCGATTTTCTTCGAGCGCAACGAGCTCCCCGAACAAGAAATTGAAATACAAGAGTTCCGAGGATCTTATCCAGAAAGTATGGGATTGCGTGCGTTCCAACAGTGGTATAATGGTGCTTCTTCAGTTGATGCAAGTTAAAACGCCGATAACAGACGCCGACTGCATCAGAACGTTAGCGTGCAAGGCTTTGGCAGGTTTGGCCAGATCGGAAACGGTGAGGCAGATAGTGTCCAAGTTGCCTTTGTTTACGAGTGGGCAATTGCAAAGTAAGTACTCCAGTTAATTAATGGTAAATGATTTGGGGATGTAATTAAGTCAAACAATTTACTATGTAGGAAAAAAATTGATTAGCACTACAGGGGGCAGCAATGTTTTTATCCCCAAGTTTTGTTTGACTTTGAGGCATTTAAACGTGCTAAAAATCCATTTCAGGATTATTACAAAATTAACGCATAATTTTTAAAACCCTGGTAAATCAAATAATTTTAATGTTTCGCTTTTGTGCTAACATATTATTGTTACCCCCGGTATATTGTAAAATTTATCGAAAGAACGGTAAAAAACGCTGATGTTTTTTGTGCTTCATTTTATTTCGAATTTAGTTGAGTTGGATTACGTTGTGCTGAACGTTTAAAGAGGTTTTTCAAGTTTATTAAGTGTTTTTTTTTTAAATGAACCACCAGCAGCAAGAAAGTTGAAATTTGTCAGAAAGTGACTGTTTTAGAATCGTTACTCTTCGCGAAGAAGGATACACTCAAGAAGAACTCGCTGAACGTTTTAACGTCACCCAGTCAACCATTTCAAGAGTGTTAACACGTTTTTCTGTTGCTGGAAGTAACTCGAGAAGACCCGGTCAAGGCCGTAGGAGGGTTACAACTCCTAATCAAGACCGAATTTTGACACTTTGTACTGAGACAAAGGATTGTTACTAGTACTTCTCTACAAAATGAATTTTTGGATCGTTACAACTTTAAAATCAGCCAAAATACGATTAGAAGAAGACTTGATGAAAATATGAAAACGACCTACACCCTGGAAGGGCACCAATTGGCCCATTATTGACCAGAGACCATAGAAGGCAAAGATTGCATTTTGCTCGTGAACATGTTGATTGGAATAATGACGATTGGGGAAGAATATTGGTCACCGATGAATCCAGGTACTCTCTTTTTTCTGATGACAGGAGAAACCGAGTCTATAGAAGGCCTGGGGAACGCCACCGTAGGAACTGTACAGTATGGAGGCGGCTGGGTAATGGTGGAGGTGGGGTTAATTTAGAGGCTCGTATGGAATTAGTTAGATTAGATCGCGGTCGACTTACATCGCAGAAGTATATAACAGACATTTTAGAAGAGCAACTCGTGCCATTTGCACCATTTATTAAGGATAATTTCATGTTTACGCAAGATAATCCCAGGCCACACACGGCAAGAATTGTGCAGCAGTATCGTCAAGAAGTTGGAATTCCTGCCTTGTATTCTTCTTCTTTTGTCATCATACCCTGGATGGGTCTTTGCCTGTCTGGCTATGTCCTTCCATTCAGATCTCTCTTGTGCCCTTCTTCTCCATTGTCTTATGTTTATTGTTTTCAGGTCGTCTTCCACGTCATCAAAATATCTCGTTCTGGGCTTTTCTTTTTTTTTCGCCTTCCTATGTGCTTCCATTGTAACCTTTTCTTTGTTGTTTTTGCATCGTTTTGTCTCTGCACATGTCCCAGCCATGACAGTCTTTGACTTTTCACAAATCTTACAATGTCATAACCTTCATTTAACTCATTAACCTCGTCATTTCTCCTGATTCTCCATGTGCCATCTTTCTCTTGTTACCGGGCCATATACTTTCCTCAGTATTTTTCTCTCGAATGCCCCGAGTTGGGCTTCATTTTTTGTCGTCATTACCCAAGTTTCACATCCATAGGTTACTACGGGTCTAATCAATGTTCGCTAGATAGTCATTTTGGTTCTTTTGTCTAATAATTTCGATGTCATCAATCTTTTAATAGCGTATGTACGATTCCCGCTGGAAATACGTGCATTAATTTCGCTACTTACGGAGTTCTCCTGATTGATTTCTGTGCCGTGATATGTAAAGGCATCCTCTCGTTCGATAGTATAGTTGTCTATTGTGATATTATATTCATTGTCAGTTATTCTTTTGACTGTCATATACTTCGTTTTTGCTTCGTTTATTTTGAGATCTCTTTTTCTTGCTTCAGGATAAATTTGTTTGAACACTTCCATTAGTCGTGGCTTATTCCTACTAATGATGGCTACATCGTCTGCATATGCAGTAATTTGTACTGATTTGGTGTTTATATGGCCGGGTATATTCGTTAAAACAAAGAAAAGTTTTTTATTTAAGATGTTCTAAAACAACCATAAAGTAGAAAAGAACAAACGAAAATTTTTTCAGTACAACTCAAAATAAGAATTTTAAAATTATGCGTTAATTTGGGAGCGCAGTGTATTTCGTTGCTCTATTATAACTTGTTATGTATATGAAGACTGAAATTTCTTTTCAGGTCTTATGAGGGATCCCATTTTACAAGAAAAACGACAAGAACACGTACTTTTTCAAAAGTACGCCTTAGAACTACTGGAACTACTCTCAGGTCAAGGAAGACACACGGACAACAATTTGGAAGCATCTTTAGCTAACATTCACAGAGTACGTACCTTATTTTAATTTATAAACTAAGTAACTGAATTTATCATGATTCATATAAAATTTATTTATATTAACAAATTAACCTCAACCTAAAACCGGACCTTAGACAAGGAAAGAGAGAGGACGCGTAACCGTATCGCTAAAAGTGAAGCCAAACTGCCACCAGAGGAAGTGGTCAGTGGCGTATCTTTGTATTTTTAAGTATTGCCTAATTCGTATTTAAAATGAAACATTTTTGTGCATTAAATGTTTTATTTAATTTATTTTATTTTATACAAATATTTTAGAATCAAAATTACCGAAATGTATTTATTTATTTAGTTATTCATGGAATATTTATGAAATTTTATGGAATATTTTATGAAATTTTAACCCTCAACGCACATCGCCACTGGCAAATCATCATGGTGTGTGAGTGAAATTATTAATTATAATACAATTACTGAAATAACTATGCATATTTAACATTCTTATTTACTAATTTAGATCTCACCTTTCCTTAAAATACTAATTTAAATTGGTTTTGAGGTTCAAAATTGAAATAAAAAGTAAAATGAATTAATAACCTAATTGCACTATTATAAATATTTACCTATGAAACGATATTCCTGGTGTTTTCTGCTCGTTGCGATTTTTACAAAGAATATACGCACAATTCACCATTTTGTTAAGTTAAAAAAAAATAGGTGTTTAATTCACTTTTTTTTTAAACTACAAAAACAAAACTGGTGTCAGATCTTTTCTTTGCCACCAAAAAATGGCGGACACATCGAAAAGTGGCTTCACTTTTTGAAGGTTGGTTGAAAGAGCGTTACCCGTCCTCTATCGCCTTTATTTATGAGCGTTTTATTGACGTCAATTCAAAGGAGTCTATACTTCATCTAATTTACTTACTGTTGCACGTCATCCGCGGCATAGTCCGTGGGGTCACACGATACCAACACGAAATATTTAGGCGGTAGGTGTGTTCTTTTATCAATTTGCCAAGTACACTGGCATTACAGCCACTAGATATATTTTATTGTATACGCGTAGAAATAAAGAAATGCACAATAATGTTTCATTTAATTTGTATAAATGCATTATAAAGCGTTTTTATGAAAAACATTTGTTCGGAACACACTGTAACTGTAATCGAACGAAGGTGATATTTTGGCATAAATTGGTAACAATTATTTGACAATTGCGGTGTTGACACTTTTTTAATTTTAAAGTGAATACCTCTTGTTTTATATTTTTACCTATCTAATAAAATCTGTGCTTTTTAGAACAAAATTAGTGTGTTTTATTTTGAAAAATGTCACGTAAGAATTTAAAGAGTCGTTGTAAAGAGATTGTAATGTAAGCGTAGCAAGTGAGTGAGAAGTTGGAATAAAGGGATAATGGAAGAATAAGTAGCATAGAAAAGATAATAATTATTCGAGATAATTATTATATATTCCAAATTAAATAAGGGATAATTAATACAGTTATAGCTACGAAACTTGCAAAAGTTTACAAGGATACTGAAGAAGTGACTTAATTATCCCTATTTACCGAAATTCCCCCAAACCGGGACCGCTGTCACCACTGTAAATAATTTACGAGAGTGATAAGGGCATTTTCGAGATAGGGGTAAGGGGATTAAGGACTTCTATGTATAAGGTCCTGTAAAGCAGAAGAGAGCGAGAGAGTGATGAGCTTGACAGTACAACTAATATAATTAATAGGGTTATGTATAAATGAATCTGTTACCTTATGTGTATATTAGGGCTTCAACCACGACACGTTCAGTCTTCTGGAACTCGGTCAGTTGAGGGTTGCGAACTTTCGAGCTGCCACAATAACCGGACTACACGCGATACTATGCCGGATGATACGCGTCCCCCGGAGAATCGCCGACTGTCTCGCGTACTGGACGCGTACGGGACGCTGTCGCGTCCCAGTCACGGTGGCCCGCTATTACTGACTGCCCATTACCAACTACTCGTACCCGACGCTACCGCGTCGAGAGTACCCGGGGCGGCAATTGATGCCTGGACGCCCGCCGTATCACTACTACCGACTGACTGACTACTGACTACCCGGCGTCCGTCGTTTTTTCTTGTTTTATTGTGGACGTACTTTCAACGCCGGTTCTAGTACCAAGGTCGTAGTTTCGCTGAGTTGCAGTTTTGGCGTTATTGCTTCTATTTTGGTCACGGGTGTTGTTATTTTTTTACAACAATAGTTTCGTGCTTTTTATACGTTTAAACAATTATCAAACAATGCCATAACTAGGTCAATTGTTATACTTTGTATAATTTAAATGTATAAGTTAACTGTATTAATTATCCCTTATTTAATTTGGAATATATAATAATTATCTCGAATAATTATTATCTTTTCTATGCTACTTATTATTCCATTATCCCTTTATTCCAACTTCTCACTCACTTGCTACGCTTACATTACAAGATGACAATACTTTTGCAATAATTATGTGACCTATTTGATTTAAAATGCAGTCAGGATTTTTTTATACTTTGGCAACTATGTCAACTTCGATCTCTGTCAACGATAATGACGTGCAACGATAAGTAAATTAGATGAAGTATATATAACTGTTTGTATGTGAAAATAACATTGTTACTTTTACAATTTCATGATATTTTTTATTTAATTTAATTAAATTAATTGTTTAATTAAGAGATCAAAAGTGGTACTATGAAAGGACGAATAAAACCGTTACTGTTGATAAAATATGTCAAATTATACTGTAAAACAAGAAATAACCAGTGTATTGAAACAAAAAATAAAGTTGACAAATTAATATATGTTTTAAATATTTTTAAAAAATTTCAGTTTTTCATAAAAAAAAATGCGCGAAAAGATTTAAATGAATTCATTTTGTCTTTTACCCGTCATTAACTAATTAACATTTAATTGAAGGCAAGCGTCGTGGCTCAAACGAAGATACAGTTCAACGATAGACAGTTACTTCAACTCATTCATCAGCATTTGGTCCAGAAGGGTTGTATCGAGACTGCTGGGTTGTTGGTAAAGGAAGCGAATTTAAGTCATGCTATAACATCCGTGAGTTCACAGCATCCGACCAGGTTTAGATATTCGTCGACATTGACACCTGCCAGAGTGGTAAGTTTATTGAAAGTATTATTTTTTTATTTACAATCCTTTTGTATTATTGTTCGTTGTTAGAGGCCATGTACAATAGCAAGTTATTCCAAATCTACCAATATGTAGAGTCGTTTAAAACAGCACAAAAAGATTAAACGGAGACGAATGTGGGTGCTTGTAATGGTCTTTACCTTTAATTCCCACCTTCAATAAATAGGCAATTTACTGTTAAGGTAGCTGTAAAAGTGTCCAAAGATTATGCACTCGAAGGACGTCCAAAAACTACAGTTGTAGACTGGAAATCGTCAAGAAAATGAATGATGAAGCTACAGAAGATAGCTGTATAAAGCTGAGTGAAATTACTAATGCTGTAAGGACATCAAAAGAACATGTTGATCATATTTTGATGCAAGAATTGAATGTGAAAAAGTTTGCTGCCACTGCGAATTGCAAACTCATTCATATGACACTTTTTAAAAAGGGATTATTCTGTTTTAAGACACACACAAGTGAATTTTTGCGTCGATACGTTATATAGAATGAGATATGGGGTTTACTGTGTTTTAAATGTGGAATTAAATCGATTTTCTACTGTGATTTTCTGTGTTTTTACATGTTGAACAAAAGTTATGAAAAATTTCAGGAAAAGAACTACAGGAAAGACACAACCAATATAATACTCCTCCAATAGAAGAAAAATGCCTATTCTTGACTTTGAAAATAAAGCCAGAATGCATACCAATGTAAAATTACAAAAATGTGTTGTATTGACATAATAATTTTGTTTTTAGAGCCGAGTGTCTATTTCTTCGCCCAAACCACCGCTTATAGCCCCATCCACGGACATTACACCTACAGTTAATAATTCACAGAATGCATCGTTGTCTATCAAATTGATCAAGTAAGTTGCCTCTTATATATTGGTGTTTATTTATACAATTTATGTTATGATATTATACTGAAAAGATATATATTTAAGTCTATGATCTCTAAAGATAGCTGTAGCTATTAGAATTACTGTAAAGTTGTTATGAAACCGAAAAATTTTATTTCTGGTTCTAAAAATACAACGTTTACTTATAAACTACTACTACTACTACTACTACTACTACTACTAGTACTATCGGTTTACAGCGTTCTCCGACGCCTTCCGACTTCTAACCGCCATTCTTCTCTATTTAACCATAGGCCTGGAGGAATTTCTTTTTCCTCTAGTTCTTTTTCAATTCCCTCTCTCCAGCTTCTTCTCGGCCTTCATCTTTTCCTTCTCCCTTGTGGTGTCCACGTCAAAATCTGTTTTGGAATCCCGTCATCTGGCGTTCTCTGTACATGACCATACCATATTAACTGTTTTGTTTTTATGTCATCAACTATTGTATGCTTAACTCCCATCATTTCTCGTATTCTCTTATTTGGTATCCGTTCTCTTCTTGATTTGCCTGCTGCTCTTCTCCAGAAGTCCATTTCTGTTGCTAGTAACAGTTTCTCTGTTCTTTGTTTCATTGGCCAAACTTCACTGCCATATGTCATTACACTTTTAAGTATGGTGTTGTATATGAGTTGTTTGTTCGCTTTAGATATTGTTTGGTCCCACAGAATGCCGTTCATCATGGATATGGCTTTTCTATCCTGTATGTTTCTGTCTTTTATAGCAGCATCGAGTGTTCCATCTTGAGTTATCTTTATACCCAGGTACTTGTATTCATTACAGTGTCCAATTTCTACCCGATCGTCTAATATAATGGACTGCTTTTTCCCTCCAATACGCATCGCTTCAGTTTTCTTAATGTTGACTTTGAGACCCCATTTTGTTATATTCTTCTATTAGCTTCCGAGGCATGTAACTCAAGCCGTCATGATCCTGAGCAATCAGTATTTGAACATCAGCGAAACATAAGATGTACAGTGTAGTCTCGTCATTGAGAGGGATTCCCATGCCATTACATTTTCGTTTCCATAGCTTGAGTGCTTGTTTCAGATAAATTTTGAAAAGGGTAGGCGAAATACAGCAACCCTGCTTTAGTCCTTTCGTGACCTTAAATTGCTCAGATATCCTTGATCCAGTTTTAATTTTTGCAGTCGTTCCATTATACAGACTTTGAACTGCTTTGATAAGACCATGCTTAATGTTGGTTTGCTGTAGGGTTGACCATAGTTTACTGAGGGATACACTGTCATATGCTTTTTGTAGGACATCAGGTGAACTTCTTTATTGACGGCTGTTTTTTTTTTTCTCAACAACTTGCATAATAGACTACAAGTAGTTACTTATAAACTAATATATAATAATATATATTATATAGCAATTTCGTATTAAAGATTAATGAGAGTAACGATTTGTAATCTGTACAAACTGTACTTTTTTATATCTTATTAACGAAAAATGGTGTTATAGAAAATCTCAAACATTACCAACGCTTCCAACGACTCCCACCCACAATTCCCGCCTTCAGAAACAGACCAGCGGAGAACCGCAAATTTGGGGCAACATTCACGAAGATGTGTCTCCTTCTTCGGAACAACCGAGAGTGACGTTGGATTCGATCATCACCGAATACCTGACCAACCAGCACGCCTTGTGTAAAAACCCCATGGCTACCTGTCCGCAGTTTAATTTATTTGTGTAAGTATGAATTTTTTTAAAATAACTTTAAATGTTTTAACTATTTTTAATAATGGAGTTACATTACCTCGCCAAATTATTAGGGCAGTCAAGGAAACATTTACTATATGAAGTATTCTCTCATAATCTCTCATAATTATGAATTTATTTCAAAAAAATATCGTTTTGTTCTTTTTTGTAAATATTAACCCTTAGGTAAGTAAACTGTACTGAAAAAGTTAACAAAAAACTTTTATTTATTAAAAAAATATAATTTTTACAAAGTACATAGGGATAAATTTAATATTTTGTAGTAACTTGTAAGTTTTGTAGAACTGCATATGTTTATAATCTAAAAAATAATAAAAAAAAGGATAAATCACTCACCTTTACAATACAATTTCAGCTCAAAACCGTTTAGAATTCAAATGTTCACAGAGAGTATTTGAGGTTATAAAATGCACACTAGTTGACAGGACGCAATGCTGTCTAGAAATGTCGGTGTTGCCAACGTTAAAATAGTATAATAATGATACCATACTATATTAAATGTTGCTATGCGAAAAAATAACATTCCTGTTGATAAAAATTATTATTTTAAAAAATGCAAATTTTTAATGCTTGGCCTAATAATTTTTACAGGTACTGTAGTTAAAAACGAGCATTTTATCTTGAGAACCATTTCATAGTTAAAAATAGAAACGATTTTTTTATTAAAATTGTAGTTTATTCCAATTAAGTATAGTGGTTACTTAAAATAAGCAATTGAACATTTATTTGCCGATAAGAGTTCTAATAACATATTTCAAAAGAATTAGTTTTGGGCATATTAAAATATGAAAAAATATTTTCATTTAATGAATTTGTCGAAAATTGCGAAATTTTTTTGTACTTAGACTGAAAGGTCGGGAAAAGACCAAAGTATAATGATTGTTATATCGAAAATTATAAAGTGTATACAAAGCAACATCCCACCCACATACATATATGATTACTCTTCCTCATTATCTAAGTTTACTTCCATATTTTCCTGCCCATTCAGCAAGTGTTCAACATATTTTTCCATCTGTATAAAATATATTTTTCATTCATTAGAATTTTTCTATTTTGGTCTTTCATATAAAGAGGTTTAATATAAGATCTTTTTAATTTAATTATTTCTCTCTGATACAGGGGGGGTTTTCTTTATTTTTGTAATTTTCTTCAATTTCTTCCAAGAGTTTTTCATTATATCTTCTTTCACTTTAAACATCTTTTGATGTTAATTTCAGCATTCGTTGTCCTAATTAATTTAATTCGCTCCCTTAATTATTTTCTTCATTCATCGAACCATTTCTTCCTTTTTTTAATTTCTTCTCTGCTATTTTTGTCCAAGTTTACCATATCCCTTTCAATTCATCTAGGTTTGTTCTGATTCTCTTCTTCTTTTGGTTTGTCCATCTCCTCATTGAGTACTTGTTCCTAATTTTTTCATTTTCTGTCATTAATCTTGTAGACGTATTCATTCTTGGTTTTTCTTCTTCAGAATTGGTATGATCTGTTCTATTCTTACTTCTACCTCTATCACTCGTAAAGTGATCAGAGTCTAATTTGGCTCTCTGTATGTCCTGATGTTAGTAATATACATTTACTCATCCTTTCCAGTAACTACATGGTCGATCATAAGTATATCCCTCACGAGAGGCGGTGTTGAGTTTTTGAGAGGAATTCTAGCTCCCTTGCTTATATTTATCATTATTCCTCTCAGCACATATGGCTTCTGACATGTTACATCATGGCTTTCTTATTTAATCCAAAACAGTAACAAATTAATGTGATATACAACCACACAGTCCGGTTAAAAACAGTTTGCGCTTATTTTCCAATTGCTTAAATTATTCTACATATTTTCGTTTCTAGACCTCATAAATGCCCCGATCCCAAACCGAGGATAACCACCGCCAACAACTATGTGATGAGAAGTGCCCGCAAACAAATAGGATACAACTCGAAAACGATGGACCGGAGGTTCGTCCACTCCAGATTTTGTCCAGTACAAACTATCAAGTCCTCAATGGAGGAAGGATTTTTTACGTGTGCCAAATTTATGGTAAGTCAAAACTTTTTGCATAACGTGTAGTATTTGTTTTGTGTTTTAAAAGATTCTGCTAGAATTATTCGTTAGTCTGACTGGCTGTTACTTCTGAGTTTATTATGGATGAATGGCAAGAAAATGAGTTATTAGGTGTCAAATAAGTAATCTTTTACTGTATTAGATACACCCTCGAGAACGCTGAATTATACTATATAAATTTGCTGTCAATGGGTTAATTTAGCCTCTAGGAGGATAATTTGGCATTCATTTATATTAAATAGAAAAGCACAGTTAATTTTTCGCTCTATACAGTTAAAACACGCTTGTCCAACATTTTTATCTTTTTCAAAAAATAATTTTGATTCAACTTCTCAAAATAGTGCCAAGTTTGGACTATGCGTTAGCCACACCCTCAATAACGCTGAAATATACTATAGAAATTTACAGTCTATAAAGTACAGTCAATTTTTGGCTTCTCTCGCTTCTTCATATGACGCTTTTCCAACATTTTTATCACTTTCGAAAAGTAATTTTGATTTAACTTAGGTTAAACCAAGTGTGTTAGATACACCCCCTGGAGTACGCTGAAATATAGAAAAATACTGTCAATTTTTTGCTTCTTACAGAAAATAAGACTCTTTTTCAATATATTTATCACTTTCGAAAAGTATTTCGATTTAAATTCTCAAAATAATGTGAGATTTGGATTAAACTTGTTATGTACACCTCGAGAACCCTGAAATATACTATAGAAATTTGGTCAATGGTTGATTGAGGCTGTAGAAGGATGATTTCTCCCTCATTCAGCGTTAATAGAATAGAAGTATAGTAAATTTTTGCGCTTCTTACAGTTAATACGACCCTTTTCAAACATTTTTATCATTTTCGAAAAGTAATTTTGCTTTAACTGTTAAAATAATGCGAAATTTTGAATGTGGCTTCATCGTCCGTTTGAAAACGACATATTGCCTCTGAATCATTTTTCAGATTGGAGCAGAAAAAAGTCAGACGGAGTTAAATCTGGCAAATACGGTAGGCGATCAGTCAATTCTTACCGCAATTGGTGTAATTTGTAATTGGTACCGTTTTGTGAAAGTCGCTCCAATAGTACACGTTATTTATTAATGTACTCTTTCATTTAAAGAATATAATTAATGCCTTTTGCATCCTAAACAAAGATCTCAATCACCTTCCAGGTCGTTGTAGTAGTCGTTTTCGCACTGCTAGTATTACCAAAAGAACCTCTAAAGGCTTATAAAGTTTAAAAACAGTTATTTAAATACATTTTGTTTATTTGTAGCCCGGACAAAAAACATTAGCTGTAGGAGATTACAACGGAGAAGTCCACATATTCAACCTTCACAAAGGAACCGTAGTCAACTTATTCACTGCCCACGACAACTACATAGTTAATATTGAACCAAATAGGACGGGACATTTTATGCTTACGAGCTCTACGTGGGGATCACCGGTCTCCGCTTTATGGGATTTAAACACATTCTCATTAAAGTAAGTACGAACAAATATTTTTCTTTGTTGTTGCTTTACTATTACAAATATTTTTAGGAGCTAGTGATTAGATTTTGAGGCATTTTTGTACTATAGTTTTCTTAGAGTTTAGATCAATATCACACCACGCAACTTTTTTTAACATCTTTAAAAAGAAGAAGGATCTTCATACACATACCTGTGACTCACTCAGGTAGATTTGGGTTCCTGATACCTTAACGAAGTTATACCAGGACGAGATGCCCGAGGGAGTTGAACGTGTGACACGTCGTCCCATCACCACTCCGAGATTATCGGCGTTCAATTAAAAACCTCTCCTCTGTCACTCTAGACATCAGGATGGAAGGGCTGGTTAAGGCAAAACATCTCTCCTGATGCCCTGCCAGCACCCGATCCCCATTCTTTGTCCCACACATTCATCGGGAAACCACACCCACACGAACTACAAAAGACATTCAACCCCCTGCCTTAGCGAGTCTGCCATCTTTCTCGTGTCGTCTGTGTCTCATTCGCCCCTATTTCGACCTGCTACAGTCCGAACCCTAACGAGTGCTACTCGCTCGTTTCAAAATTCTGTTGCGAGTTCCCTCTCCTCTACGACGAACTAAGTACTCTCTCCTTCATCACATGACGAACTAAGTACATAGTGGTTAGAGGATGTGATGGTGGTAGGGTACAAGTAGTATCTCTGAAGTTTAGACTTGCTTTCGCTTCTAAATAATACTGTGTAAAGCTGTACTCAACATGAAAAATGTTAGTTGAAAACCAAATAACAAACATTAGAAGAAAGAACCATACTCACGAAATAAAAAAATGGACAAAGCCAACACTTTATCCTAATGCGACCACACATTTAACCGCTACAAACACATTTCCAAATGGGGAAAACATATTTTTTGTAGTAGTCGTTTGTGACTAGTTTTCTGAGCGAACTGTTGTTCTAATTTGATATAGGCATGAGGGAACTTCAAATCAAGTGATTGATAGGAATAGACTGGAATTTTTCACTACTGCTTTTTATGCTACTGCATCAGGAATCAAAGTTTTCTTCTTGGCGAATCTTTGTCAACAGTTGCTGATATTTTTTGAGATGTGTTTTCAACTTAATGCCTAATTCGTCCAATTTAATGTTCACTAAAATAATATACCACTAATTCTTATTGATTTATTGTAGGATGAATTTTAACGAAGAAGAGCATGTAGAATTTAGTAAAGTTACCCAAGAAAAAGTGATAGGAACAAAAGGTGAAATAGCTACGGTGAGAGATAATCATTTTACCGCAATTATATATTCTATAATTTTTTAATTTTTGTTGCAGATATTCGATATTAACACAGGACAGTCTTTAGTGAAACTTACACCTCGAATATCTAATCAGTATACTAAAAACAAAGCCACCTTTAGTTACAATGACGAACTAGTATTATCAGACGGTGTTCTTTTTGATGTATCGTCCGGAAAACCTATCCACAAACTGGATAAACTTAATCCGATACAAAGTGGGGTGTTCCACCCGAACGGACTAGAGGTAAGCGCATAATAATTCTTCTCTTTCCTTCTGTGTTACGGTCAACAGGATATTTTGAGAATTTTTACTTTTTTATTCTATTATGAAAACCTATCTTGTTCAATTGGTCACTGCAGGGTTTACTTTGTTGCAGGAAAGAAACTGTCGCTAATTAAAATCGTTATTTCGTATCATATTGAGTTCAAATATTGATATCATAAATGTTTAACAGTCAGTAAATAAGTATATCTTTGTCAGCCAGAGAGTGGTTGTGATGTAGTTTTTTTTTAGTTATATGTTTAATCCGGCTCGAAGGACCAATGTCTGAAGACACTGAAACATGCATCAGGATGATAAAAAACACAGTTTTAACTTTGTTTAAAGACAGTGTATCTTAGGTATCAGTTTTATTGAAGTTATAACTGGGGTTTTAAAGATAGATAAAAATCCTCTTTTGTCTGTACGCTATTATTTAGTAGAGAGAGAAATGTTTTATTATGCATTATGGTGCCGAGGTAGTTGTAGTGCGCCACTCTTTCTACAGGGGATTGGTTGACGTAGAGTTGACCTTCTGTTATCCTTTTCTTGCTAATTATCATAAGCTTTGTCTTCTTAACGTTTATATTGAGTCCATATTGTTGTCCGTAATACGTGATTTTGTTCATAAGAACTTGCAGGTCTTCTAAGTTGTCCGCAAATACTATGGTGTCATCTGTATATCTGATGATAAAATACAGTTTTGCCTCACTTCACGCATGATTTTCACATAGTCAGTGTGTTCACCTTCAACTCTGAGATTTGTTGTCCGATTCCAGTAAAGATTTCTAATTATTTTCAGGTCTTGGTTGTTAATTCCTGTTTCTTTTAGTATTTACATCATCTTGGCGTGCTGTACTCGATCAAACGCTTTCTCGTAATCGACCAGACATGTGTATACGTCGCAGTTGACGTCTCTGCATCTCTGGAATAAGACTTGTGCTGAGACACAGCCACCTTTACTTCCAAGCCATGAAGTAGAAATTTGGCAACAACGCGTGGTAGTCCGACCGTGGTTTGTTTTGTTTAACATTTCATATAGGAAGGCTTGTAAAGTTTGTTGAATTTAGTGTTTTTTTAACTTTATTCGAATGTTTTATTTGTAAATTGTGTTTAAATCAATTAGTGAATCAATAAGTGAAATTTCATTAACTTTAGAACTTTTAGAAGATTCTTAACGACAATTTAAAAGGCAAGTATAAATATAACCTACAAATCAAATTGAAAATAATAATACTTTTGCTTCTTGTTACAAAATATGTAAACTAAAAACAACAATAATAATACTTTTGTTTTTTTGTTACAGATGCCCTGGCATTGTTGTGTACCTGGTAGCAAAACCGATTATGCCAGTACTTTAAAAACGAAACAGGCAGAAAGTACGTTTTCGTTTCCCAAAGATCCCCAAAGAAGGTATACTGGGTTATGCTCTATTCATAGAGAAGGCTATACAATTACCAAATCTTCCGTAGTATGTGCCAAACATTTTCATGAAGATGATATTCAGCGGACTGAACAATGAGAAGATAAAGTTGGAAATGTACACATTGAAAAGTTAATATTTCCCAAATTAAAAGACAATACAGTTCCTAATATATTTTCTGAAGTACCATCATATGTAACTGTTCATCGTACTAAAGAAAGCAGGAATCCCAAAGACCGAAGAAACTTTTTGCATAAGAAGAGGGAACAAGAGATAACAGAATTCTTAGACAATGATTTAATAGATTCATTTGAATCATTTTAAGAGACTTAGACAATAATATCCCTTTGAAAAACTGGACAAGTAAAATTACAAGTGACTGTGTATATTTCTGTGTATTAAACATTAATCAGTTGGGACACGAATGTGATAATATTTGTGTATATTATTATTATTATTATTATAATAAGTAGTGTAGCAGTAATTTTAGTGTAATCGTCAATGTAGGTAAGAATGGATTAAGTAGTAATGATTTGAAATGGATTTTACATTATAGTAAATTAACAAGATGGTCACAATTAGAAAACTTACTTTCTCAATATAGATCTGCTTTTTAGATAAGTGATAACAAATTTGAGTATTACATTCAAAAATCTTTTGAATGATATAAAACAAATTTTATATCTTTTGTATTTTTAATAATCTTTTTAAATGTCGTGTTAATGTATTGTGTTATTTATATGCTTAAGTACTTAATATTTAAAATTTCTAGAGATTCTTGACTACATTTGATTGTAAGATTAACTGTTTGACACTGTATTTTAAGTGCAATAAATTCTACTCTAATGATTATTTTATTGATAATATAACCTTAATAATAATAAAATTTTATATATATTTATTAGGTATATATAGGGTTTTATTAATTTAATTTCCCTAAAAATATTTCTGTAATGAATTGAAGTTTTCAAAATATCAGTTTCCTAAAATTCAAATTAGTTTAATTTTCTGGTAGACCTTACAGCTGATTATCGGACTACCGGCGTCATAGAATGCGGTGTTGCCTTTTTTACTTCGTGGCTTGGAAGTAAAGGTGGCTGTGACTGAGAACAAAGCCTCTGTAGTACCAACAGCATTTGTGAACCGAACTGGTTAGGGGAAATTTGACTTTCACACAGCTTGTAGATTTTCTTATGAATTATGTTTAGGAACAATTTTAGGGGATGATACATTCAGCTACCGATTGATATATTTATGTTATGTATTTTGTATATTTGTAGATAGTATCAAATACCGAAGTCTGGGACATTAGGACATTCCACCTTTTAAAAACAGTTCCTGTTCTTAATCAGTGTTCCACAATCTTCTCCCCCGTAAACACTGCTATATACGCGATAGCGCTGGAACAAGAAATGGATGATGGAGATTCAGCTTTCGATACAAGTTTTAAAACTGTAGATGCCATCGACTACGCCAGTATAAGTAAGTAGATTTTATTTTTCGGCTTGTTTAGTTTGTTCATTCTTTAAGAGGTCCTTTCTGATGAAAAAGGAAAAGAAGTCAATAGAATAATGTATAGTCCGTCTAGAAAGTATCCGGAAAAAAGAAACCAGAATTATAATTGTACGGTATTTATTTCTATCACTTAAAATATAAAATTTCAACAAATAAATAATTTCATTTACTTATACAACTCCCAATTAAATCTAAACATTTAACTAAACGTTCAGGTACACCCGAAACTAGGTCAAGGCCATAATTTTCGGTAATGGTGTTCCAGGCCTGTCAAACTGACCGAATCAAACCTTCTTTATCTCGAGGCGCTGCTCGTTTCACTTCAATTTTCATCAGTCCCCATATGTTTTCAATGGGGCTAAGATCTGGAGATGCTGCTGGCCACGGAATTGTTGCCAACTCGTGTTCTTGCATCCAAGCTTGAGTATAAACAGAAGTATGGCATCTTGCATTATCTTGCTGAAAACGCCACCCTTCTGAAATAAAATATGAGCCATTTCAAGAAGAAAACTATTTAGGATGTCACATAATTTCGCACTATTAACGGTACCATTATCTATACAGAGAGGTATAGCACCATGCTCCCCACCGAGATATTGCTCCCCAAACTTGGAATTTTGAACGGTAACATTTTCTTTTGATAGGACTTTTAGATGATTTGCACCAAGCTGGAAACAACTTTCATCAGATATAAAGACAATATTAAAATTATATTCCCGAAAAAGTTGACAAAAATCTATTCTTCGTTGCCTTTGTAGAGGTGTCATTGTAGGGATTTTTTTTGGATTTCTTGATATGTTGTAGCCTTACTTTTTCAGTGACATGCGGACAGTTTCTGGACACATTTTTATTTTTCGTTGATCTCCAAATCTTTTCGCTAATTTTCGAAACCCTAGGCGCGGATTTTGTCGTCCTAAAGCCACTTGTTTGCGCGAAACTTACGCGGTCTACCCGAAACTGATCTATGTCTCATATATATGCCATTTTTTATCCTTTTTATTGTCTCATACAATTTAGTCAATTGCACTAATTTTTTAACGTTTCGGACACCCTTTCTATACAAATATTCCACCACTTTTCTTTTTTCTACTTGAGACATTATTTCACAAATCTTAAGTCTGTTTAGAAACAACAATATTTAACAATATTTGACAGATGGTGTGTCATGTGATTTTGTCCATAACCTATTATCGGCACAACCTACTTGATGCATTACTTTTGTCTTAAAATGTTACAAAAAGGAAATCTATTAAAATTAGGAAAAATATAAAATTCCGGATACTTTCCAGACGGACTATATATTCAACTAAAGGAAAGCTAAATTTAGCTAAATAAAAAATTGATTCGAGAAATTTTCATATTCTCCTCGTAAAGAGAAATGCTGTAATAGTAGAGTTCACCAAAATTCAGTTTCTTGCGACTAAAAAACAAGAAAGTTTTACAATTATTTGATTGACTCAGTTTGTTAATCAAACATTTATTTAAATTTGAAATAAATTTAAATATTGAGTATTGGCTTCGTAGAGAGAAGTGCAAAATGTATTAATACGAGGGTCAACCAAAACTTAATTGTTCTGATTAAAAAATAAGAAAGTTATAGTTACTTAAATGAAAATTATAGTTACTGATTTAAGATGGTTTTAACTAAAGAAAAGCTAAAACAAATAGATATTACGTTTGTTTTGAATAAAAAACCAATTTTTCCTTACTGTACTGAGAAATTTTCACGTTCCACTTGTAGAGAGGGGAAAGTATAATTTACTCACATAAAAAATCCACAGCCATACAAACCTTTTGCTTCAATGAAAATTATAGTTACTGATTTGAGATGTTTTTAACTAAGTACAAACCATATTTAAATACAAAATGGATACTACTTTTGTTTTAAATAAAGGTTAAATGGATAGAAAATGGACGTTTTTGTTTCTTCACTATACTGAGAATTTTTCGCATACCCCTTGTAAAGGTTAATGCTGCATTACGAAAGTCTTTTGTTATCTGTATTTTAAAAATAAGGAAGTTATATAATTAATTATTTTGTTCAAATATTTTCCTAAATAAAAAATTATATTTGCTGCTTTGAGATGTTTTAGCTAAATCAAAAAAATGTAAATAAGTTTAAATAGATGCAAAATGGATGTTTTCTTTTTTCCACAGATACATTCGTAGAAGGAAATGCTGCACTAAAAAAATAAGAAAGTTATACAATTAATTATTTGAGCGTTTGAATTTTTGATCAAATATTTTCTTATATTTTCTTCTATTAAATTAAAAATTATATTTACTGATTTGGGATGTTTTTAGCTAAAGGAAAGCCGCATTTTTAATTAAAAATAGTATTTACTTCTATTTTAAATATAAAAAAAAAACTAATTTTTCCTCACTATACTGAGAAATTTTCCTATGTTTCTCGTAGAGAGAAATGCCGTAGTATAACTACCAAAATTTAATTATAAACGGATAAAGTATATAAAAATATCGAATAAAGTATATTTAATTTAAACAAAAGCTACATTTAGCTTAAAAATATCCGAGAACTTTTCATATTCCCCTGGTTAAGAGATATGCTGTAATACGAGGGTTCGCCAAAATTTGATTTAATCCAATTAAAAAACTTTCTAGAAAGTTTGACAATTATTTAAATGTTTTAGTTTATTGATTCATTTGCTTGAATTAAAATTATATTTACTAATTTGATATATTTTAGCCAGAGAGAAGTTATATTTAAATAATAAAAAAAGTATAGTACGTTTTTAAACACGTTTTTCTTTTAACATTCTCCTCGTAAAAGAAAATGGTTTTGATTTAAGATGTTGTTTTAGCCACCTTCGATGTAAAAAAGAGCATCTACGACCTAGCCTGTGATAATTTTGACACCCAAATAGCAATTGTGGAGAACCAAGGGTTATACAACTCAGTACAAGAGTCCGCCGTTAGAGTGTACGATGTAGGCCGAAGAAGGGACGACGAAGATGAGCAGGTACTGTGTTATTCTATTATTTGTTTAATTTTGATTAAGTACCATATTCCATAATAAAACTATTAGTGTTTTTTTATTATAGCATTATTTTGACTATTTTGACGAGTTTTTTTTTTTTTCGATATTTACATAATTTTTAATCCTACAAGGTGTGATAAAACAATACCCGGCATTTTTAAATTTACCTGGTTTGGAAAGTCCAATCGTCAAAACATTTTTAAAAATTATATGTTGGTATAAATGCTCCTAAAGGATAAAAAAAATTTTCAGCTATATTCATTGTTTACCTTGTTTATGGCAGCCGCTAAAGTTCAACAGTTTTTAGGAGCGCGGCGATTTTTATTTATCTAAAATATGAACCAAAGAATTTCTGTTGAATTTTGCTTAAACAATTAAGTAAAGTGTGCTAAATGTTAACAAAGGCCTATGAAAATATACTATGAAAAACTATGAAAAAAAAAAACATGATAGCCGTGAAGACGTTGAAAATGATGAACGCCCTGGACGGTCGTCGAATCACAATCAGAGCAGTCGCTGATTAAGTTGGCGTATTAATTGGCTTATGCCATGAAATTTTTTAAACGTTTTGGGTATGAAACGTGTGTCAGCAAAATTTGTTGTTGCAAATGAAAGTTGTTCAGAAGTCAATAAATGACGTAAACGACGACACAGATTTACTAAAAAGGGTGACAAATTTTTATTTATGGATATGAAGTAGAAGCTCTATGTTCAATCGTCCCATTGGAGGCATTTTAGTTCGCCAAGAAAAAAGACTCTAAGTGCGGTCGAACATAAAGGTTATGCTCACTGTTTCTTTGATTTTAATGGCATAGTACACCATGAATTATTACCACGAGGTCAAAAGGTCAATAAAGAGTACCACCTACAAGGTCAACGCCGTGTGAGTGAAGCAATCCGAAAAGAAAGACCGGATTTGTGGGAAAACGACCAAAGGCGTTTGCATCACCACTTTAATGCACCAGCTCACACTTCATTTCTTGTTCGTGAATTTTTGTCCAAAAACAATGCTGTAATGATGCCCCAGCCTCCTTATTCACCAGACATGGCTCCGTTTGATTTTTCCTATTTCCAAAAACAAAGAAAACTTTAAAGGGCCGTCGTTGCACAAGCATAGATGACATAAAAAGCGCATTGCTGATAGAACTAAAGGCTATCCCAAAGATCAAGTTTGAGAAGTGTTTAAAGGATTGACAGAAGCGTTGGCACAAGTGCATAATATCTGATGGGGACTACTTTGAAGGAGACAACATTAATGTAGACGAATAAATAAATATTTTTTTCAAAAAACGAAAATTCCGGGTATTTTTTGAACACACTTCGTATATTACTATATATTGTAAATCAAACTCAAATTAGATTCAGTTGGTAAAACGCGAGTTTTTAAGACATTTATATAAGTCGGTATGGTGATGGAAAGTTCACATTTTTTCATACTTCTACATTAAATTTTCAGGTTATGTCAATGTCTGTATTTAATTAAAAATCTGTTCATTTCATGATGTATCGGGTACTTTCATTGTATTGAAAAAGACTGTAAGACTTGTACACACTTCTAAATAGGTCTAACTAGTAAGCAGGTTTTGTATGTTTTTAACAAAATTGATAGTGTGTAAAATAATTTATTAAATTAAGTTGAGTATACTTTCGACATAATAAATGTCATCATCAGAGCTATCCTAAAATAACGTTAAGTTAAGTAAATTTTTTATATAAAATACAATGATAGAAAAAACTTACGTCAATTAGGCAATAAATACTTCATAGAAGGAAAATTGTGGACAAACGACATATTAAAAAACAAAGATCGGGCTCTGTAGGCCACAGATCTTGGGTCTAACCCTTATACATATGTATAATTCACATCAAAAATTTTTTTATAAAACATGGTTACCACATACAGTAACGACCACAGCTGTTTTTGACTTACATTTTTGAAGTAAAATGAAATAGGAAGCTCGGATATACGGAAATAAATCCGAGAGCGACCTCTGTATTTAAATTATTAATTAGAAATTGAAAATGTCTAAACTGACATCTGAAGGTTATTGATTATTAGTTTTAGTTACTATAGAATTTTAAATTTAAATATTTTAAATTGATAAGTTAACGTGAAGATTTAAAATATACATTTGTCAATATTATCAAAAACCAAAACTTTAAAGTTTGACCAAGTAGAAGAAAGTAGATGAAAACCAACCAAGGAGAAGTATCATTTGCTAAGTTAAGAGTTCAATAGCTATTATTGATTATCAATATTATTAATAAAATAAATAATGAAGAAGAAAAATATCAAACATTCTCTATTTAGATGAAATCAATGAAAGAAAATTTAAGAAATTGTCTCTTTTAAATCTCTTTTAAAAATAAAGGTCAAAGCTTGATCAAATGATGGTTAATTTTATACTAAATGTATTATTAAAGAAACTTCTTAAATATTGGATCAAACTTACAATTTAAGTTAATTTGAGTGTTGACACAGTTCTGAGGATTCCTTTTCATTTCTCTACTGATTTCAAGATCTTCTAGTAAATTCATTTTTATATAATTATTATTGGGTATACTGTGTAGGATCTTGCTATCTCTATGAGGACTAAAGCCATGCTTTGAAGCATGTATATGATTCCCAAAACTAGATTTATCAATCTTAGACAGATGTTCTTTAATGCGTATATCCAAAAGTCGCATTGTTCTACCCACATAGGTCACCGGGCATTCGCCACAGGATAATTTATAAATACCACTTTTTGACGATTTGTTGATTTTGTCTTTAGTGTGGGAAAAAATAGATTTGATATTTTCTTTAACTTTGAAAGAAAGTTTTAGATTAGGGATGTTTTTTAAGATTCTGGCTGTATTATCTGAGGGATAACCTATGTACGATATTGATCGATAAATAACTGTCGAGTTAGAAATGTTATGGACAGTGTTGTATGCTAGTGATCTATTCCTTTTTTTCCCTTAATTTGTTGAGTATGTTATCAACCAAAGTAGGGGTATAACCGTTACTATAAGCACATTATTAAACAACTTGCTAAGTTTTTTCTATCATTGTATTTTATATAAAAAATTTACTTAACTTAACGTTATTTTAGGATAGCTCTGATGATGACATTTGTTATGTCGAAAGTATACTCAGCTTAATTTAATAAATTATTTTACACACTATCAATTTTGTTGAAAACATACAAAACCTGCTTACCAGTTAGACTTTCATTGTAGTTTTCTGGTCATGCGACCAAAATACGGATATCTGATTGTTCAAAACCATTACAAATTCACTTATTTTTCATTAATGTTAAATCAAGCTCAGAATATTATAGGTGGTTGATAATATATCTCACAGGCCATAGAATATAGTATATAATAGAATAATTGGAACGCAGTACCCATGTTAGGTTTCTTTCAAAGTGTTTCCTTGGACTTTTATTAAATGTTGTTGTTTTTACGAGATCTAGCTATTAGATAATTAAAAATTATTCTACAATCGAATGCTCTCCTTCAATATATTCCCCTTCCCTCGCCACACACCGTTCCATTCGTTTTTTTCCATTGGTCAAAGCATTGCTTTGACCAATAAACATACTAAACCAGGCTTGTAAACCTGATAAAAAATGGCATCTTGGTTACATATTAATGAAATGAGTTTGTTTTCTGTTTGGCCATAAAATCTTTATAAGCAAAATTTCTTTTTGAACACACAGAAACAAAAGACTTTTTCCGGAAACAAAATTTTACCAATAGCTCTTATAATATGAACTTGTATTGTATATTATTACTTATTATAAGTTTTTTCAAATACGTCGTTCTGTCGTATTATTATCCTGATGTAGGGATTATTGAAGAAGGTATTTAACTTTTGTTTTTCGCTGTTTTTCACAGGAAGAAGACGAAGAGGACAGTATGGAAGGGAGCGACGATTCAGAAAACGACGGTAAGATTTATATTATATTTGTGTTTTGTGTCTTTTTTACAAATTTTTAATAGTTATTACTTAACGTTATAGTTGTGCTTACTGATCATCATAATTTGTTCTGATTTCTTCATCATCATAGTCATTTTGGCTTTATTGGCTTTACAGCCCTACGTGGGTCCTAGCCTCCCCAAGAACGTCTCTCCAGTCGTCCGTATTCATCGCCTTTCTCCGCCAGGCAAGTATTCCCATATTTCTCATGTCTTCATCGATGTTATCAAGAAATGGCAATAAACCTTGTTCTAGGTCTTCCTCTTCTTCTCTGACCAATGGGTCTATACTAAAACAATTTTAATTCAAGGTGATTACTTGGCAACATTGCACTTAACGAAGCCCTTAAGTATCAATTTTCAATGAAATTATATTCCATTTATCAATTTTGCAGAGGCGTACCAAAAAAAAATTAATTATTTATTTAAACACATAGGTAATTACGTAAAAATTAAATTTACCGATATAATTATTACCTTATCATGTGTCTTTTAACAGGTATCTTCTAGTTGTCTAACAAAATAAAGTAAAATTTTATTCTTATTAGAGAGCTCCTAATACAGAACCTCAAAAAACAAAAAACTTTGGAAAATACTTATTTTTTTCATTAGACTAAAACTGTCTGAAATTTTAACATACGATCTCGTCATTACACTGACTATTGATATTTACTCCCAAATATTTTATGGAATTTGCCTGTTCTATCATTTGACCCTTGGCATACACATGTACGTTTATTGGTGTCTTTGAAAATACTAAAGATTTAGTTTTGGAAACGTTTAGATATAAACAGAACATTTCGCTGTGTTGAACTACCGAATTTATTATATTTTGTAGTTCTTGTGCGTTGCTTGCTATTAAGACGGTATCATCAGCATATCTGATGTTATGTCTATGCTGATTCCGATAATCTTAATTCCGCCTTAAATTAAACAGTAGCGGTGATAAGACGCAACCCTGTCTCACTCCTCGTCGGATTTGTATATCTTCGGACGTTTCGGAATCCGAATTGAGTGACACTCATCTGGAACTCGCACTTCTTGTAAATTCGTGTATGGATAATTCTGAGAAAAGTTTTAATGAGACATCAAGCTTAATATTCGATAATCGTCGCATTGTGAGGAATTCGATTCGAATAGTCTGTTGGTATTTTACCTGTGTCATATATCTTATTAATTGTGCTGTTAGTAATTCTAGGCTTTTACTTTCGTTATCTGCAAATAGTTTTAGTATTTCGACATTGATATTGTCTGGACCGGTGGCTTTTCCATCTTCCTGAGATTTTACTTCGTGAATCACTTGTTCTTTGGTTATTTCTGGACCTTTTTCATTTATTTGATTATCTGTGGATGGTGGAGAACAAGGTCTATCGTCGTCAAAAAGAGTTTGTTTGTACCTATTCTTTTCATCTCTCTAGTTTGTCTTCTATACCCATAAATATTTCGTTATCATTTTTTAATATTATTGCTTGTCTCTTTTTGTGTCTACCTGTCATTTCTTTTACTTTTTTATGAATATTAAAGGTGTCATATTTTTCCTGAAGTTGTTCGATTTCTAGGCATCTTGTTAACATCCAGTTTTCTTTCGCCTCCCTGCACTTTTTTCTAATGATTTTATTGATTCGCTTGTATTCTATTGGGCTTGATTTATGTTTTCGTCTTACGTCCATGAGGTCCATGATCTCTTGCGTTATCCATTTTTATTTTTTGTTGTATTTTATGAACCCGATGTCTTCTTCTTGTAATCTTTATTTTTGTTTTTAGAGCAGTCCATGTTACTTTAATGTCTGTCTGTACCAAGATTTCGATCGTTTTATTTCTTCTTTAAGCTTGATACTTATCTCTTTTTTCTGTTTAGGGTTCTTCAGTTGTGAGATATCTATTTTTCTTGTCACTGTGTTCTTTTTGACTTTGAGAAATCTTTTTAATTTAAAATCCATTATAACTGCATTGTGATCGCTATGTATATCACCTTCAGGATGTTTTCGTAGATTGTATGTACTTCTTAAAGGTGTTATTGAGCAAAATGAAGTCAATTCTACCAATTCTGTCTTTTCTATTTGCAGGTGATTTTCATGTGTATAGCCTTCTAGGATGTTGTTTGAAGAAGGTATTGACTATTAACAGATTGTTTTCTATGCAGAATTGTACAAGTCTATCTCCTCTATTATTCCTGATACCTAGACCGTATGCTCCTATGTGGTCTCTTAGCGTCAAAGTCACCCATGATCATCGTTATCTCACTCCTTTTTGTCTGTCGCATTATTTTATCTGTGTTGTTATACATTTTTCGATTTCTTCGTCTGACTTGTCACTCGTTAGAGCATAGACCTGAATAATATTTAGTTTTCTGTGAGTTCAATTATTTAGAGCAAGGGTGTCCAACTTGCAATGCCTCAAGGGCCAAAACTAAAACCTTGGATGTTGTCGCGGGCCATATAATAATTTTGTTACAAGTAATAACAAAATAAAGTGAGGTATAAAAATAATTAAAACAAAAAAGAGTATTATTTTTTTTATTGCTCAACAACTATATTTTTTTATAAACGGAAAATTTATTGATAACACTTTTCAATAATCAAGACAAACATTGCAAAAGCAACGAAAAAGATGTATCCAATTAGTGTGAGGACTGTGGTCGATCGGCTTCATCCACCAATGAAGAAATGTCCACCTCCAGTTCAGTTGTAGATACTCTCATAAGATGACTTAAGGAAGAATCGGTAAGGTTGCTTCTGTTTTTATTTTTTATGTATTTCATGGAGGAAAAGGCATTTTCACATGTATAAGTGCTTCCAAACATTGACGTCATTTTCAGTCCAAAATCTCGCAGGTTTGGGAATTTCTCCTTTGACAATAATTTGAAAAATTCAGGTCCCTTTTCTTGTCTGGTGATTAGGAATATGTCTGCTTGAAGATCACATAACTCAAGCTGTAAGTTGGGTGGTTGATCATCAATGGTTGCTCCAAGAGGGTTATTATAAAGTAGTACACTACTTTTGAGACTTTCAATTTCTTCAAATCTTGTATTGAGTTCATCAATAATTTGTTCAATTTGTGAAATGCAGGATGAAAACTCAATATTTTCCTCACCGTTGAATTCTTCTGCTATTTGCAGACAGCTAGGGAAGTGTGTCAGGTTGTTATTTTCCAAAGCACGTTTAAACACGTTCAGCTTATTCCGGAATCCGTTTATCATTCCGATCAAATCTGAAACCGTCTGGTTTCTTCCTTGAAGACTCAAGTTTAACATTTTAAGATGATTAGTCAGATCTGTTATAAAAGCTAACTGTCTTAAGAATTCTAGATCCTTAAATTTCTCTTCCAGTTCAGTTGTGTCAGATGAAACGTATTTGTTGAGGAATGCAGGGATTTTCTTTCTTATGGCAAAAAATCGTTCCATGCACTTTCCTGCACTCAGCCACCTTACATGGTTGTACATTAGCAAGTCTCCATACTCAGCCTCTGTTTCCACTAAAAACTGCTTAAGTTGCCTGTGTAAAAGAGATCGATTTCCACCTCTAATCATATTTATAATCTTAATCACGGTTTGGAATTGGAAAATCGATTAAGAAGGACAAATATCAAATAACTATTCTTTATTGGTAAAATCATCAAAAGTAGTGCGCACAAATATTAGCAGCTGATTAACATTGGTTTGATTAGTGCTTTCATCCAAACAAAGTGAGAAATATGAATTTTTCTTAACCAGGCTAAGCATAGATTTTTCTACTTGCTCACCCATAGCAACAATCCTTCTTTGTATGGTTTGATGTGAAAGTGGCACTGATTCAAATTTCTCCGCCATTTTAGAATCACCGAAAGCTTTGGCCATTTCAACAGCACATTTTTTTATCAAATTGTCATCAGTGAAAGGTTTTCTTGCCTTTGCCAGCTCAAGCGACACGGCATAAGATGCATGCAAAGAATGCGTTTGAGACTGTAATATTTTACTGAACATACCAGTTTGCTGTTTAAGCTTTTTCTTCAAATGTGCAACTAGCGCACGCCGACTTTCATTTGTGTACGTAGCATACTTATTTTCATGCACTGTTGTGTAATGTCTTCTCACATTATATTCTTTAGGCACTGAAACGACATTCATGCACAGTAAGCACTGCAACTTTCCATTATTGTTAGCAATCAAGTAATCACTCTCCCAACTTTCTTTATAAATTCTGTTCTCACTATCAATTTTCCGTTTTATTGGTTTTACGCTCATTATTGAATAAGAGGAAGCAAGACAAATAATTAATCAAGTTCACTGTTAGTAGCACACTGGCACGATAGCCAGAGTTGCCAGGTGAAAATTTTTGTCCTCCCTAAATTGAATATTAAAATGTCCCTAGAAATCCCTAGATTGGAATAAATGTATATATGGTTGCCTAATTCTGAAGAAAATGATGGAATGTATTGATGGTTGCCTAATATAATAACATGGAATTAAAAAAAGGTAGAATTTACCGAAAGTACAAGCTGAATATAGCCACAAATGTCAAACATGGAACAAAAAATTTCGGTATAGCAGTGTTGGCATGTTTTTATAATGTAGATGCTGTGTAAATATTTGTTTCTTTGGAGATTAATTGCAGTTAATTATTAGAATTTTTTTAGCAATTACACTTTGGCAGATTAGGGGATAGATTTGGCAATCGTCAAATGAGCAGTTGCCAGATTACAACATATGTTTGCAATTAATCTCGAAAGAGACTAATATAAATCATAAATATCATCAGATCATAAAATAGTATAATCAAAATATAATATAATATAAATCATAAATATAAAAATCAATACTTTTTAAAAGCTTTATCTCTTTATATTTGAAGCATACAATATATGCATTATAAAAACATGCCAACACTGCCAAGCCGAAATATTTTTGACATTTGCGGCTATATTCAGCTTGTGCTTTCGGTAAACTCAACCTAAAAATTGTTGTTTTATACCTTTATTTCAAAAATATTTCATTTTTAACGGTATAATAGCGATGATTTGAATAAATTTAACAAAAACGGAATAACGTACTTATTTATGGCTTTGAATATTCCATTTAATGTATTATTAAGTATTATTCACTTAATAAAATTAATACAAAATACAACTTGAAAAGAATTGAGATGGTGAAGCATATAATTTTATTTATATTTTCCACGAATCCTGGGATTCACCCGATTCCTACTGTAAATCCCCTAATTATTTATTTTATAAAACCTATGTAAACCCTGTAAATCCCCTAATTCCTGCTCCAGAATTTGCTTTCCCTCTATGAAAATATATAGGATTCTATATTTGGCAGAAATCTATTTGGTAGCATAAAATAAAGATTCCAAGAACGTGGACATTTAACGAGATCTGATAATAGAATCCTTTAGTAGTTTACTAGTAGTTTAAGTATTTGTAATTAAAGGTCGCTTATTTAATACTGTTAATACGAAGTGGTTTTATACCTGAATTAAAGAAAATGTTATTATAATAGGCCTATGTAGGTAAACATTTGAGCCGGTCAAAAATCCCTAGATTTTACCATAAATATCAAAAAAATCCCTTTGTCCCTTTTATGCTGAAATATCCCTAGATTCGGGATAAATCCCTAGACCTGGCAGCCTTGACGATAGCAGAGAACTACGAACACTGCGTTTCGTAGTTCTCTGACGATAGCGGCTGCCGACGGATGGTAAGCAGTGGGAGGTGTGGCCTGCATGAACTGTGATGCACAGTAATCAGTGCAGTTCTCATAGTGGTGGAGGACGATTGTGTTCGGTACACGTCCGCGAAGCGGCACGCTGTACACTACTTGTGATGTAAAAACACAGCTAAACCATAAAATATAAAATAAATTAAAAAATCTTTTTTTACAGTGGCATTTAACGAAAAAATATGCTTTTCGAAAATCTTACGTGGGCCACAACAAATAGCCTCGCGGGCCGGATGCGGCCCGCGGGCCGCCAGTTGGACAACCCTGATTTAGAGGGATGAAGTCTGAAATAATATATGTATCCAGGTTTTGTTTTTTGTACTTCTGAATCAGGCCATCTTACTTCACTCATCCCCAAGATGTCTATTTTCAGTCTTACTATCTCGGCTTCAGTGTTTGTCCGTTTCCCGGACACAAATAAGCTGCGTACGTTCCAGCTGGCAATGCGTACTATTCGGTCGTATATTTGTATTCTCTGTCCACTTTCTGGGGTAGTTGACGGGGGGATTTTCGCACCCTCTCCCCATTTAAGGTGTGCCCTGGACTAAGGGCCATTTTCTTTTTCTCGTCTGTCATTTAGATTTGTGGAAAATATAATGGGGTGGATTTCCCATTGCCTTCCCCATCGCAATATCACAACCATTTAAACTGCTCCAGTCATGCTTGTGGCAATCCAGTTTCAAACCGGTACAGAATCATTTCCTCTACGCCTTAAACTGGTACTGATGATCGCTGCTGTCCTTCACCATCATGGGAATGATGTCTCTCAGTAAGGCATTGAGAGCAAAGCATGGCTCGCGTGGGCAGGGACGCTTCCCTGAAGTAGACCTATTTTCAACCAGGATCATCCAGAACCTCTTTTGTGACATTCGTATTACGTTTTCCAAAGCCAAATTGAACAGTATACCCAGAAATGAGGGTCTCCCTGGCGGTTCTAATTTCGTATATTTCTCATATTGTTCGTATATTACTCAATATTTCGAACACACTGATACATTGGCTTTTTAATAAATATTTGTTTTTCGTTATAGATGGAGACAACAACGATATGGATGGTAACAACGATAACGACGATAACAATGACGATGATGATGACGGCGACGATAGTGTTACCAGCAGCGATGCTGATGGAAGTTGGACGAGTCTATCAAGCGGTGGTTCTGGAGACAATTTAGATTTTGGCGCTTTACTCGCGTCACTGTGAGCCCTATAGAAGCTCTGGAAATGTTTCTATTTTCCCTCGTTATACTCTGTATGAGGGAGGTGATTTTTTGATAAACGTAAAATGAGTGATTTTGTATTGTAAATATGATGTAATCATTGAGACGTAAAAGTTTTGAGCGTTTTGCAACTTCCATACAGATTTAATATTTATATAAGAGATTTAAACTTATTTTTGTATTTGTAAAAACAATTATTAATTTAAAAATATTAAAATATTTATTTATGTAATTTTCAATCTAGTTATTAAACAGGTCATAGATAATCAATATTATCATTATATTGTATCATATGGTGCAATATTATTAATATGTATAATAATTTATATTTTGCAGTATTTTCATAAATTTGTGCACAATTATTTATATTGTGCAATAATATTGTCAATATATTGCACAATGATCCATATGGCGCTGTATTCTAACCAGCTATTTAATTATAAAATTATTGTACAACATATTATGCATATAGTGCATGAATATGACCAATTTATTGCACATTAATGGATATTGTACCATGATATGGTTAATATTTTCTAAAATACTCGAACTTGTAGAATATTATACATGTGTGAAAAATTATTAATAATTTATTGAACATTTTTTAATATTGTGCAATATTGGTCGATAATCGATATTGTGCAAGATTTTCATCGGTACATTGAACAATAATTTTAAAAAATGTGGGAATATTTGTTTTGGGTCAATCGATTTGACAAAATTCTTTTTCAGCAAACTATAATATTTAACTTTTTAACTATTTACCCGTTCTGAAGAAACAATTATTTCAATAGAAAATAAGACAAGAAAATAAGTTCGAAATATATAAAAAAAAAATAAATCAGTAGTTTTAATTATTTTTACTTTTTAGTTTTTTTAAGAGTATTTGTTACCTCTTTTCAACCCTTTATTGACCCAAATGATTTTATTTTTTTCTTGTTTTTGTTAAAACTAATAATACTACTGCAGAACTTGATTTCTGTTTCTGAAAAGTCAAAAGTTGTGCAATAATAAACAAAATTATTGTGACTGCGTTGTGCAATATATTGATGATAATATTGGTCCTCTAGGAGCCGTTTATCCATCTTTGTTATTTTGAAATTCATTCATATGTTACTTGGTTTTGTTTAATTCATAGATCATGTCTCTATTTTTCGTCATGTGTCATTTGTCATCCTTAGTACCTTCGTATGAAACCATGATAATCTTCCCCGTTGTTGATTTTATTTAATATTTTATTTTTTCTCAATTTTTAAGCCGGAAATAGTTTTCTTTGTGACAAAAGACACTGAAAAGCTAATTCTCAAGACAAATATCAACCAGGGCCATTTTGTTGGACGTTTTGCCTGATTTATAAATTTGAACTATTTTTTGTAGAAATCATTACTATATTTTGAGCCAATTTTTTGGTATTATTTCACTTTTAATGGATGCTGTAACAATTATCTCAACAGGGAAGGGAAATATTCAACTATTTATTTTTTATTTTGGACACCTAGGAACTTATTTGCAATGATTACCAATTCTCATTGGTAATTAAAGCGAAATTTCTTCTTAGTTCTATATATATGAGAAGTGAATAAATGTACACTTCCTTTTATGCTTCTACTTCTTCTTTCCTTTAAAACACTTGATGACACTATGTTTCAAATCCCAAATCAACTTTCAGCAGATATGAGGAGATTTTAAGAGAGGTGACCAAAATATGCCACTCTGATTGTTAGAAATGGTCACAAATTTACTAATTTCTCCTCAGAACTGAAGAAATTTGTAATAATTTACAATTTGTTTTCGACGATGATACTATATTAACATTTTTTACTGCCACTGTTTATTAAACATTTGGTGACAGTATTTACCCATTTTTTCAAAACCCAAATCAAATTTCAGCAAATATGATCTGCTGAGAGTTAGAAATGATTTTTAAATTCACCTCATCGATTAATGTAGGACACTATTCATAACTTTTAAAATTGTACACCACGTGACCAAATACCATTCTTTGCTGGTTTGAAATCATCACAAATTTACCGATTTTTCCCCAGAACTGAGGAAATTTTTATATCATTATTTAACTGTAGTAAATTCACTATATTAATTTTTTAACTGACCCCACTTCTTGAAACACTTTATGATACTTTATTTAACAAAGTAACTTCATTACATTTGTATTGCTTCCATTTAATAAAACGCTTAATCACACTAATTGCTCAATTTTTTCATTCAATATATAAGTTCTTCATATCTGGAGAAATTTTAATTCATATGACCCTCTCATTGTTCTCACTGATAACAAATTTACAGATTTTTACACCTAACCGGAAAAATGTTAGTTATCTAGCTTGTCTTACATTAAGTCACTATATTATTCATATCTGAATTCGTTAAAAGGCTTTGTCAATATTGTCTCGATTTTCAGTATATTACAAAAATGTACTGCCTTCATTCATCAAAATATTTTGACACTAGTGGCTCAGTAGCTTTTAAATCTAATCCAATTTCACTAGATTTGGTAAAATTTTACATCACGTGGCAATTTTATGCTTTGATTGATTGAAATAATCAAATTTACTGATTTCTCCCCAGAGTTGGGAATATGTTGAATCATTTAAATGTAACCAAGTGGTTAAAAAACTCCCAAGACACTGTTTTTTAAATCCAAAATTAAATTTTCTTAGATTCTAAGAAACTTTAAGACATCTGACCAAAAACTCCATGCTTTGGTTAATCGAAATAATCGCAAAAATACCCATAAATTAATTTTTTGTGATGCGTCCATGCGTTAAAACACGTATGGCACTATTGGTTCAATTTTTTATATTTAAAATCCAATTTCCGTAGATCTGTTTAAGGTTTAAGCCACGTGATCAAAATAACATCCTTGGATTGGTCGAAATCATCACAACTTGATATGTTTCTCCCATAACTGGAGACTTTTTAACTATTATTTTTATAACCTTTTTTTTAATAAAATTTCCCACTAAATCTAGGAAAATTGTTAACTATTTACAACACTGTCGGCAACAAAGTCATTTGTGTATTGCACCCATTCCTTAAAATACTTTAAGACACAGTTGGCTCAATTTTTCAAATTCAAAATTTAATTTCACAGTTGTGGGGAAATTTTAAGTCACATGATCCAAATAAGACGCTGTGATTGGTGGGAATTATTACAAATTCACCTTTTTTTTCAATGCTGCGTAAATTTCCAATTATTTGCAACATTGTAAAATAATCATTTGTGTACTGCAGCGTTTCATTAAAGAACTTTTTCAAAGAAAATTGTTAGAAATTGTCCAAACATGTTCGAACTGTACTATATTTTTTACCGATCTCGAAAATTTTTGTCACGTGACCAAAATATGACCATTTTATTAGTTTAAATGGTAAAAATATACGGATTTCTACGTAGAACTGGGAAAATTTCTAATTATTTGCAACATCGCCCCTAAAATACTACATTAACATTACATTTTTGAACTGCATCAATACGTAAACACTTTTTCAAAGAAATCCATGTTTTGTAGGTGTCTAAATTACAAAAATTTTAACAAACACTCCCAGCATTTGCTAATTCTATTTATATTTTTGCACATTTAGCAAAATCCTAGTCATGTGACCAAAATACCATACTTTTAGCTGTCAAAATGATAAAATCTCTAACGCAGAGCCGGGAACATTTCTATTTTTTGCAGGATTGCCCCTAAAATTGTCAGTATATTACTTTTTTCTATTACAGTATTTCGTTAAAATACTCCGTAAGTAAAGACATCGTAATTGGCAAAGTAGATGCACTGCACATTGCGAAATTAAAAGTACTGTACTATATTTTTACAATTACGTGACCAAAATACGGTCCTTTTTTGATGATGATGAAATGATAAAAATTTACTGATTTCTATTCAGAGCTAGGGAAATTTTTACTTGTTTAGAACATTGGCTCAAAAATGTTCGATATATATTGTACGTTTTATATTGCAACATTTCGTAAAAACGCTTTTTAAAGAAAACCATGTTTTGTAGGTATCTAAATAATACAATTTGTAACAAACTGCCCAAGCAATTTCGAACCGTACTCTATTTTTGCAAATCTGGGGAAATTTTAGTTTCGTGACCAAAATACGATTCTTCTATTGGTCGAAATGGCTAAGTTGGACAAATTTTTATCGTACTTTTTGTACTTTATTGTATTTCAAAGAAAAATATTTTGTAGGCTTCTACAATTCCACAATTGTTAAGAAACTTTCCATAACTGTACTATAAACCGTACTAATGTGTTATATTTGCAATGTTTTGAATGAAAATTTAACGAATCTAGAATGAATTTAATGAAGGTAGATATTCTCCTCGCCAGTAAGTTTCATAACCGATTCAAAAAGAATAGCTATAAGGTCGGTGGTTGTCTTTTTATTTATAAATATCGGTTGTCCTTGATTATAAACCAAAAATATTCCCCTGTGCATCAATTATAAGGTCAGTAGAAATCAGCATGCATGCTGGTTATGATTTATAAATTAGTTATCTATGAAATATGTTGTTAATTATTTCTATGTCAATGCCAAACCGAGTCCGCTCAAAAAATTTGTTTTTCAAAATAAAAATTAACTATCACACATAAATTTGTTGATCAAAAACGCATAGTGACATTTTTCGTGACCGTCCTTAAGGCTAGAAGTGATATATGTTGAGTTATTGTCTTTAAAACATTATAGTCAGATACTACTTAATTCATAAAATGATTTTTATAATAATTTTAAAGGTATCGAACCGCTCAAAACTTTACTGTAAAAAGTTCGTGTTTTGTAATGAGTTTTTCTTAACTTGTCGTCCCTACAAGGTTTTCCTTTGTTTTATTATATGATTGTAATTAATTGTTTAATTTTGTAAATAGAGCTTGTATCTAAGATTAAATTATGAACAAGTGACGTACTTTTAATACCTAGTTGAAAAATGTTAAGAGGAAGTCAATAAAACTAGTTTGTATTATTTGCATAGTTTTATTTTTGCCTGATTTTTTGGTGGCTAAGTCGTATTGAGGCATGGTGTAGCACTAAATCCATTTACTTTCATATTGTAGCAAATACGCTTGTAGTACGCCTCTGGGGGAAATAGTTCAGTCTAGTAGAAGAGTTCAGAGTGATCGAAACGAACACACCCGTAGAAAAAAAAAACAATATGAAAGTCGATTCTGTTGACACTGACAGTGACGAAAAAATAAATTACAAACAGTAATTTGATAATATTTTTAAATTTCAAGAAGTTTAACACATTCGCTGCGTCACCAGTTGAAAAAGACTGATAACTACGGTTGCAGAAATTACGGCTACAAATAAATACATGTATTTCCATCTGGCGAGTAACGTACAAACGAAACGCGTTGGTAAAAACTAACATTATAGGTACCTATATTATTGCCTGAAAGAGATCTATCTAATAGAGGGATAATTTAGCACCAGTTGTATTCGACTGGTAACGCATACAAGTTATTTATTTTTCATTGTTGGATTTCCAGATGAATTCATCTGGTGAGTAATTTCATTTGTAAATATCAGTTTATTTTAGTTATCGCGGTGGAGCCATAAGTGTTTAAAATATTTGTATAAGAATTGAGTAAAATGAGTAAGTACTGTTAAATTAGTAAATTAGCAAAATGCAACTACAAGTGGTAGCTGTGTAGAACCCAATCAGAAATTGGATCGGCACCAAGAAACAATTATAAATACTTTAAGCGAATCAGAGGAAGAACCATTTAGCGACAATTCGGACTGTGATTATAATTACACTGTTTCTGACAATTAGTCCAGATAATGACGAATTTAAAATCAGTTTCGAGAAAAGATATACTGACCAAACCCGTAGGACCTGGTACCAAAAAAAGGCGAAATTGTATGGAATGTTACAAGAAGCTGAGATAAAAAATGAAAAGTAAAGAAACTGATAAAAATGTATTTAAAGTTACTACATATGCATGTATACGAGGGAACACCTGTTTTATGTTTACCATGTTTTAATTTTCAAGCGAATTCCAAGCGATTTCTAATAGAGTTATCTATATGGTAATAAAACTAAATCGTAGATACAACATTCAAATAATCCACTGTTATGCACCAACTTCTTCTGCAGATGATGAAGAGGTAGAACAACTTTATGAAGACATTACAAGAGCCAGAAACCTAGAGAAAACATGTTACGTAATAATTACGGGAGATTTCAACGCTAAAATAGGAAAGAACGAAAATAACAACGACAACGAATATATTGGAAATTTTGGACTGGGAAGTAGAAATCACAGGGGAGATATGCTCGTAAATTTCCTCAGCGAAGAAAAACTATTCTGCTTAAATACCTTCTACAAGAAAAAGATGCAGAGAAAATGGACGTGGTTAAGCCCAGATGGCAAAGTAAAAAATGAAATTGGTAAATCAAATTTAACTAAAGGAAAATCAAAGATAACTAAAATCAAAAATCAACAGGGGTATACGGTGACCGAAAAAACTCAAATAATCAAGGAAATACAAACGTTCTATAGGAATCTTTATACATCTACTATACCCCCGAAACAGACCACAGAACAATTCTAAACGTCGGTTCGGAAACCCTCCCTAAAATAACCTCTTCGGAAATTAGACATGCCTTACAGCAAATGAAAAACAAAAAAGCTCCTGGCGAGGATCGTATAACGTCTGAAATCTTAAAAATGGGCGGCAACATCGTTGTAGAAGTCTTACTGAATAAGTGTCTAACAGAAAAAAGAATACCCAGCCTATGGGAAAACGCCGAAATCATACTTTTACACAAGAAAGGAGACACTACTAATATTGAAAACTACAGACCTATAAGTTTGTTGTCACACAACAAACAAACAAATTACACAACAAATATACAAATTGTTAACAAGAATAATAACCAACCGCATAACACAAAAACTTGATTTATATCAACCGGTTGAACAGGCGGGATTTAGAAAAGGGTTTGGTGCTAATGATCACTTACAAACCATCAAAACACTAGTAGAAAAAACCACAGAATATAATGTATCTTTACATATGGCATTTATCGACTTTCACAAGGCTTTCGATAGTATTGAGACTTGGTCCTTTTTGTCAACCGTGAAGGATGCTCGAATAGACTCACGGTACACTACACTCATTAAAAACATTTATGAACAGGCCACATTCCACATCAAAGTCAATGAAGACGAAAAAACTGAAAAAATGCGCCTTGATAAAGGTATTAGACAAGGTAATACTATTTCACCAAAGCTTTTTACCTTAGCATTGGAAAATATATTCAAACAGCTTGACTGGGAGGAAAAAGGTCTAAGCATTGATGGTGTACGTTTGAGTCATTTGAGGTTTGCGGATGACATAGTATTATTTAGTACAGATATCAAGGAACTGGAGCAAATGTTGAAGGAATTAAACCAGCAGTCAAATAAAATAGGTCTCAAAATGAACCTTCAGAAAACAAATTTTGATAAAACAATAATGAGTAATTTACAAACTAATCTTGTTATTGACAACGTCAATCTTGAAAATGTAGACCACTATATATATATATATATATATATATATATATATATATATATATATATATATATATAATATATATATATATATATATATATAATATATATATATATATATATATATATATATATATATATATATATATATATATATATATCTTGGACATACCATTAAAATCGGCAAAGAAAATAAAATAGCCGAAATAAAAAGATGCATACAACTGTCTTGGGGAGCTTTCGGCAAATTAAGCTTTATTTTGAAGAATAAAGATATACCAATGTGTCTAAAACGTAGAGTTTATGACAAATGTATCTTGCCTGTAACTACATATGGACTGGAGACCATGGACTTCACAAAGAAAACCTTAGAGCAGCTCAGTACAACCCAAAGAGCAATGGAGACGGCCATGCTAGGGATTAGTTTGAGAGACAGGATTCGAAATAACGTCATTCGTGAAAGAACAAAAATTACTGATGTCTCGGAACGTATTGCAAGGTTCAAGTGGCAGTAGGTCGGACACGTTGCCCGAGATAATCCCGAAAAATGGACACAAAGATTAACAAACTGGAGACCAAGAGAGAACAGGCGAGGAGTAGGCAGACCGCAGAAGAGGTGGACAGACGATATCAAACAAGTCGCGGGCAAGCAGTGGATGAGAATTGCCAAAAGTAGAAATCGATGGAAGCAAATGGAAGAGGCCTATGTCCAGCAGTGGACGAACACAGGCTGAAGAAGAAGAAGAAGTTTTAATTTTAAACACAATGCATACATTCTAAAGCTTATACCTAGTAATAGTTAGCATTTGTTGTTTTTATATTTTACGAATAATATGTGTTTTGCTCTCAATAAAAGTTTTGGTTTTATTTTACATGAAAAAATTTCAGATTTTGCTTTACCAAAAGGATTAGCCTGGTACTGATACAGTTTCCAGCAAGTTTGTGTATTACTTGTATGTATACAACCATTATTACACATGAACCTTTGAAAATTAGATAGATCGCACTCACATTTCTTAAGAACTACCAGTCTAGTGTGACTGGTGTATCTAAATGCATAATTCTATAGTACCGGTCAATTACAACTGGTAAAACATACAACAGAATAATTGTATATCGCAGCGAAGGTGTTATTAAAATTTTGCGATTTTAAGAATTTAGTTACTTCATTTACCACTTCTAAATGTGTTTATCTTCTAAATATGTTGGCGACCACATTGACCCATCTTATTCCATTCACAGCGCTCGAAATAAATCAGTTGACATCCTAATTATTATAGACAGGTTTGAGTGTGAGATTTGATTTATTCAATCTACATAAAAATATACTAATTTTATATTTCATCAGTTGATTTCCTATAGTGGTGTCAGTTGGACCTTTGGTCAATACTTAGTTTCATAGAATTTTGAAAGGTGCAGATCACATAACTACCCTTTACAAGCTATCATTTGTCACATGTCATCTCAATATTTCCGCAAGACCGGGAGCCCATTCTGTCTCCGACTTCTATATAACATGTATCTTCTCCTTTTTAAAAATTTTAAAGTGTTTGTTTGTCTTTGTGTATTGTATTGTTATGTCCAAATTTACATGTATGACATTCTACTCATGTCGGATAGGCCACAACTGACGAAGTAAGTCTATAAACGTTTATCACATAAAAAAATTTTTCAACCATAAACTTGGAGTTTTTTATCCAAGTGAATTAATTTTCCTTCTTATAAAAAAACGTTTATTGGCTTATTTCAGATGCCCCTGAAGATGATCTATTGATCGAAAGTACTTGGGCAAGATTTAATTAATCACTGTGTTCGATAGTTGCCTTGTATACTATCAAAGTTTAAATCAGTTGACGTTAGACCAGACCACTTACTCAGATTAGCCAGCCATGATATACGCCTACGTCCATGGCCTCTCTTACCCTCAATATTGTCTTGATTTATGATTTTGCCTTTAAGTGTAGCCACGCTCCCGGACTCTCCTACGTCTGCTATGTATGCATCTTGCTGTTATTTCTTTTAAATGGTTATTATGGTTCCAATGAAAAATCTCCTCGGGAAATCTCGGAAATCCTCGGAAAATTCCCAAGACATTCTCGATGAGGTTCATATCTGGTGAGCTGCCGGACTATGGTACTACATGAATTTTTTGCAGTATCAAAAACTGTTAATGCTCTTAACCGTCTGGAAAGGTGCTCCATCCTGCGTAAAGATCTTACGACTATAACTAAACCATTCGTTCATTTATGGAACCATTTTTGTCTGTAGTACCTTTATACTGGTCCTGTCGCATGACTCTTTATACCTCATAATTTTCACTCATTACAGACCAGATCATCACTGGGGTGGGATGATTAATTGTTTTTATTACCATCCCTTCTCATATTTTTCCCCCGGACATTTTCGGACAAATTGAGCCTTATCATGTATAGTTTGGAATGTTGCTTTATCACTTAAGCACTAATAGGAATATCATAAAGCATGAAACCAAACTTACTTTTTACCAATCATCAATAGTCGATCAAGTCTTTATAAAAATTAGCCCAAGCCAAGCGTTTCTTGAGCATTTGTTGTATTAGTTTTGGATTCTTAACAGGCCTTTACCTTCGACATTTTAATCGTGCTGTACAAATTTCACCATACAATGGCCACTAATACTGAACATTCTGTTTCTTCTAATTTATTCTTATACCTATATCGGTGACTCTTCTGTTTTACAGCCAAATATTTTTAAATGCGTTACCCTTTGCAGGTAATTGAAAGCTTTCTGTCGCACCACTAACGTACTACTAGCACTCTCAGAGAGGTTACAGCAAAACGGTATATATCCAAAGGGAAAACAGTGAAATTTCGTCCTACTTACAAACTTCCGTTCACCTTTAACACCAGTAGAGCGAGTTTGAATGACCCACAAATCGTTACTTCCATAGAAAACTCACAGCCACAATACAATCGCATCAGTCAGACCTAATAATGATTGTCTAGAATAGGATATTGCACAAATCAGTATCTGCTACCTTTATCATCAAAACTGTTTAAATATATCTTGCTTAAAATACAAAAACTAATAGCAATCAATACCAGTGCAATTAAATGGAAGTCTTTTCAGACCTTGAACACAATAAATGCGAAGGAATATTCCTTCTTAACAACATTAGAAGTTTTAATTTGGAAAACAGAGTATAATGCACCTCACAGCTCATTTGAAAGATTTTTTAACAAACTAATCGATTCTTTTCCAACTTCGCCGTAGCGGATCTCAAGTCAAAAGTCAGGTTAAGAAAAAAACAATATTATATGCTAACAATCTCAATACTGGGCGGAAACGAACTCCTTAGCAAAAATTACCTACAAGGGGTATGGTAGGAGTCAGCATTGAAATCATAACTAGAACCCCCGTTTTTATTGCAGGTTCTGATTCTACAAAACATTCAGTACCATAAAACTTAGTTTGTAGGCTTCTGCTCTGTATATGTTTTCCTATGATTACGAGACTTTTACTGAGATCGGCAGTACAATAGATTGTCACCTTCTCCACTACTCCTCATGTTACATATTTTATATATAATATAAATATGTTATATAATATTTCTTGATATTGAACATTTAACAGTATTAAGAATAGCTGTGGAACATATGAATGTTTTTTTTATAAATATCAGCTAAAATGACAATTTTATCGAGAATTTTGGTCGTTGGCTACATAAATTTTAGTTTTATTATCACGCAGATCGATTTACAGTGTATGGAAAGAAATAAAAAACTGTTTTTGTGTTATCCACATTTTATTTATTTACAAAATTATCTAATTTTTCTAGAATCGTTTTATTAAAAGCTTAAACTATTCCTATATCTATGTGGCAGTCAAGAGATGATTAAAATTACAATTTTAGTATAATACGTTTTTCCAAAATTTTGTTATATCACACAGATATCATTAGAAAATGTACAAGAATTAAGTCACAACTGATAATTGAGTATGACACCACGTTGTCATTTTCAAACTAATTATTTATTTCTGTTTTGAAAATTTGTTTTTCTATTACTTACTAAAATATGGTTTACTGTTTTTAAGAAAACATTAAAATTATTTTTATTTATGAAGTTCGAAAACGTGCACAAAGGGTAGCACTCCATCCATGAAATATATCCAATTCTTGATGTCGCAGGTACGTTATTGATTTGGTGCTTTGGAGTTCTCAGAATGGACAGGACAGAACAGGATTTGAGTTCTCAGAAATGGGTTGGATGTGAAATAAAACAAGAAATAAAAGAACCCACTGCATGATCACTGCGTTCATAACGTAGTTAATTAAACTCACATTTTCACATTTAGGAGAATACATTGATAATAGGTTGTCAGTTAAAAAGTAACCACAAATATTTTTAATTTAATTGTAATTGAGTTTTGAACAAAATTTTATTTTGTTTATTTATTTTTTAAATAAAATACGCTACTCATGACATTTATGAATGTTTTTTTATATCAAATGAAAGCTAAGTTTCTTCTTAATCTGGAGGTTGCCTGAGAAATAATGGTCACAAATTGGGGTTGTAGCTATTAAAAACGCGAGGATTCAATGATAAAGTAAAAAGACAGCTAGCGCCCAACGCTACTGTCAGTTGTGTGAGTTTTTAAAGCATGCGTCAATAGATACATAATAATTTATACATTATCACTTGTCAAACCAGTGTCGTTGCGCCCTAACTCTATTTTACTTTATCTTTGATGCCTCGGGTTTTTAACAGCTGGCAACTTTAATTTGCAACCACTTTTTCTCAGGCCACCTTATATCAACAGATTAAAAAAAAATTGCTTTAATTTGAGATAAAAAACATGAACACGAAATAAAAGTTTTGTTCAGAAATGAATTACTTTTATTTGAATTAAAAGGCGTTGCAGTGGGATCTTCTACTAATAATAATCACAGCAGAACAAATGGGAATGTCAGCTAAAAATGCATGTTTTTTCTCCTAAATAGAGATACTTCAAGAGCCTGTGACAATGATTTCTATAGGGAAAGACATCTTTGTAAAAGTCTTGATAATATATTTTTAAGTATTAAAAAAACCAAATGCAAAAATCCAGAGATGTTTTAAACACAGAAGGTGTAATAAACTGTTTACAAAAATGATTTACATTTAACGTTATTCTCACTCATCCTACTTATAAGTATTAAAAAATTAATGTAGTACAAAGCAATGGCATTTTATAAAATATTAAATGGACCCTGAAAACTATTTGTTTTAAATAATTATAATTCACATTTTTTAGGCTCAACGAAAAATTTGACTGCAGTTGTAAATAATAAATAGTCCATGTTGTGAGACTGCTCCCGTAAAAATGTCCCCTTTAAAAAACTCTGGAGGGTGCCGAGCGAATTTTTTTGACAAACAAATTCCAAAAATCACATTTTTTGTTGCGGAAAATATTCTTTTAAATTTTTTTGATGACCGCGCAAAATATGGAGTGACAACCTTCCATAGAATTAATCCGCCAATGAAAATATGCACAGATAGACAAGCGGGCATGGCCTCTTAGGAGTTGGACTCGTTGTGAGTAGGGAATTTTGAGATAAACTAAACAGACTGATGTCACAATGGTATGGGTTTCAGGTCGGAAAGGAATCTCTCTCTTTGTCAATAAGTTTTTATCCACTCCTGAATGTGGGTCTCTCTCACATAGCTTTCATATTTCTTTGTCTTGAGTCAATCTAATCCACTATTTGCTAACACTGCTTTCTAGCAGTGGATTCTAGGATTCTTCCTGTCCACCTGTTACTTTCGTACCTATGTGAGCGACCCAGTGACATTACATTACTGTAGATTCTTCCACAATATCTCTGATCTTCGTTTAATGTCTTATCTCGGTGTTTCTAATCACATCTCTCAGTGATATTCTAAGCATAATTCGTTCCATTGACCTTTACGTTGTTTCTAGTTTTTTACCAGATTTCCTGGTGAGGCTACGGTCTATAACCTATAGGTACTGGTAGTATGCATGCTTTATACACCTTTTGTTTTCATCGCAGAATAGGAGTACTAAAAAGTAACCCAAATAAACCTGCATCCAATCCAACATAACTCTCAGGTCTCCTTACTGAACATACAGATTTGACCTAATTCCTAATGTCTTGATTCTTACATCTACGACAAAACTTTCAGTTACACGTTTTGATTTAATTCGTATAAATTGTATGATGCGCTTTTGCTGAACTGGGCATATAAGTAGGTATACTTTAAAAATAATTTTTGACCATTATACATTACTGTGAAATTTTTTTCTGAACTTCTGTGACATAGTTTATACATTTTTATTAATTACTGAAATCTACTGGCCACTGTGAGGACATTTTCTTCCTTACAGTACAGAAATGAATATTTACATCTCCGTTATGTCTCGTTAAGGTTGTAAAATCGCCGAAAAAATATTTATTTTATTATTCTTAACAATATAAGCATTAATTATTCTTATATTTTTATAAGATTGTCAAAAATCTTTAGTAAAACCTTTTAGTAACTATGACTAGAATATTAAACTGAGCTAATAAGCCGTTAACTACTTTTTTATCACTAGTATTTGTAACAGTTTATGCTGCGTTAGTAAAATCAGGAAAACGAATAAAATATAGCTGAAAACATATTGATAAAGACATGATATGCTATAATATGGTGATAAAAGACATACTTTATTTCATTTTTAACTTGACTTTTTGCTATTTTATTTTTAATAGAACCAGAATGTCTAATTCATAAAACCTGCGTAATATACTTCGATCTGCTCGGACTTCTTGGTCTACTTCGTTCAAGTAAACCCAAGAGCAAATAAATTCAATTTACGCCTATTTTTTAGCAAAAAAGATCATAAAATTATAGAGTGTTACTTTCAGTCCTGGAACTTCCATCTTTGTCTTCTCCACTTGCAAGATTATCTAGTGGCACACTGGTCTGGTCAGATTGCTAGCAGACTGCTAGCTCTGGTATAATTAGAATGCATCACTACTTAGGCTAGTTAAGTGATTGATTTATTACTTTGCTTGAATTTTATATAAATTATATCAAATATAACAACTAATGTTTCAGATTTTACTGCTATCTCAAGGAGAAAATGTAATATGTTTTGACAAGTAAATAGTAATTTTTATTGCTTTCAGCTATAATTTTATACATTTACATCTTTTTGTATTGCTTAAACTAAAATTACTTTTGCGGCATCAACAATATCACTTTCACGCTAAATTGACATTACAATATGTCAAAATACGGAACTCACTTTATATCAAAATCGTCTCTTTTAAACAGAGACATTAAAACAACAACCACTACGAATAGTGATCGATAATGTACTTTATCCATCCAATATAATTGTACACAGTCGTATAGATTCCGTATTTTTGTCTTCTTCCGCATCCGTCACCAAAACTTGTTATACCCTGAATACTGTAGATGAGGCGTTTGTTCCTTTTTGTCGGACACATCAAACCTCCGCCGCTGTCTCCTGCGCAGGTGTCGGCTCTGCCTGAGTACCAGCCTGCGCACAGCATGTTGTCGCTGATGAGGAACTGCTTGTAGGACCTTCTGCAGGTTTTCTGATGTACTATAGGAAGCTGGAATAATAATTATTAAATTAGATGAATGCTTTTTGGAAAATATACCTTTATAATATTATAAAATCATGTTGCGTAAATGCAAAATACTATTTTTAAGATGCTATAAATCAAGAATAGAGCATTTAACAAGAAAATGTACTCTTTAGCAGGAACATCGTAATGGTCTTAAAGATATACGTCATGTCAGCATCACGTCATTCAGTATTCTTAAGTTTGGTATTAAATTAAAGAAATCAGGGTGTTATATGCTTTGGTATATTTATTTATGATCTATTTAATCCAATAGGTGTATAAAAATCACTATTCCTTAGCGTTAAAATTTAAAGAACATGAAAAGTACCTAAAAAAGTCACATAGTTAATTTTATTGATAATGAATTCATGATTAAAAGTTCTTGTGGCGTAGTTGTAGGTTTTAAAATGGCCAATTAGCAACTAGAAAGAGATAGAACAGTGGTGCACACTAGAGAGCTACGTTCAAATGGAAATGTATTAGAGCTAAGGGTTATGCACTTAAAAAATAGAAGTACTCTTAGATTGAATTGTGATAATTGTCAAGAAGAATCCTAAGTTTATGTCTAAAAATGAAAATTTGGAAAATATGTTAAGTGAAATGAGGAGCCTGTTCCAGCAACAACTGTTCTCAACTAGTGTGATCCAACAGAGCTTCAGCAGATACTTTAATGAACGCTGTTACAGCGAAAACAATCTAATGTTTTGTGACTTCAGGGATAACGGTCATCAGTCTGGTTTGGATGAAGTCAAAATAATTATTAGGGAGCTGATTGCTGATCTCTTTGTCAACCATTTTTCATCCAATCCTGAATGTAGGTATCTGCCAATTGCTTCCATCTTTCTCTATCTTGCGCCAATCTAATCCAGTGTTTGCCTGCCACTGCTCTTATGTCATCTACCCATCGCTTTTGAGGTATTCCCATGCTTCTTGTTATCGTCCTTGGTCTCCATTCTAGAATTCTCCGTGTCCACCTGTTGTCATTATATCGGACTACGTGACCTGCCTAGCGCCATTTCATTTGTGTAATTTCTTTCACAATATCCCTAATCTTCGTTCTACGTCTTATCTCGGTGTTTCTAATCTTGTCTTTTAGTGATATTCCAAGCATAATTCGTTCCATTGCTCTTTGCGTTGTTTCTAATTTTTTAGTTGATTTTTTGGTAAGGGTTACTGTCTCCAAGCCCTAGGTACAAACTGGTAGTATGCATGTGTTATACACCTTTTTCTTTAGGTTTACAGGAATGGAGGTGTTTTTCAAGATATATGATAGTTTGCCGAAAGCGCCCTACGCCAGTTGTGTTCTTCTTTTAATTTTAGCATATTGTCTGGTCTTGTCTATACTTGTCTAAGTATATTTGTCTGATTGCTGATCAAGTTATGACAATCCCGCTATAGGCTTACGCATCTTTAAGAAATGGCTGCTGTTTTTTTAACGGAAGTCGAGAGTAGCGGTTACACGAAGTTCGTTGCCTGCTAAGTTGAGTAGCTTAGCTGGCAGGAATGGAACTTTTAGCTTGATGAATCTGGTGAGTACTTGCCTTCGACAGTAGCTGAGAATTTTAAGAACCTCTTTTGCCTGGATGCTGTAGCTATACTGAACCTGTAGGAATTGTAAAAGTGTTCAAAGTGGGAGAAAGAATAAAAATGTTGCTTGTCCCTTAAAAGTAGTTTTCTGGAATGGGGTAAATGTTATGATGATAATTATAAAAAAGAAAAATGGAGATACAGAGAAGAAATAGAAAAAGTTTTCGTCGAATTGGACATAACAGCTCTATAGATGGAAATCATGGAAAACCTAAGGAAATAATTGAATCCTAGGAAACAAAATGGGAAATACGTTTTAGTTACGAATGTAAAAGATAATTCTCAAATGTAAAAAAACCTAAATGAACAGATTCGAATGTAGATATGAAGATCGAATCGTTTTGTAATGCCCCTTTGTCCGCTTCTTCTCGATCGACGATGTAAAGTACAATAAAATGTTGAAGTGGTGGAGTAAAAATTATGGTTTTATTAAAATCTAATAATAATTACACTATAGATGTTGGTTAGGTAACTATCTATAATAGACTGCGCTCAAATGAGCTCAAATCTCCAATTTATAATCTCACAAATAATGTATACCTCAGCACAGAGGTTATTGCTTTTATCATTATATCAAAATTTTGAACTATGAACTTACAATATAATTTAATCTAGGCCTTAATTGCAACACTTAGGAAGTTCAATTGGAAAATATATTATTCTGCAATTTATTAAGTTGCAGGTAAATGGACTAATTATTAAGATATTACACGATATCTTTTTCACAATGTTTCAATTATACACGGTGAACTATAAAAGGTTAAGAAGTTAAGAATAATGTGAGATTACAAATTAAGGGATTAATTTGTGATTGACCACTAAATCTATTTACTTTCACAATGTAGGCGGTCTTAGGACCAAAATTTTAAATTTAGACTATGTTCAAGTTATAATTTTATCATTATCGTGAACGCATAGGATATGTACTTATGTTTTGTAGACTTTGAAAAGGCATTTGATAAAGTTCAACATAAAAAGCTTGTAGATATATTAAAAAGCAAAAATATTGACAGTCGTGATCTGAAAATTATATCTAATTTATATTGGAATCAAACTGCCAAGGTAAGAGTTAACAGCCAGTACACCGAAAATATCAAAATACAGAGAGGAGTCCGCCAGGGTTGCGTGCTGTCCCCACTACTTTTCAATGTCTACAGTGAAGCGGTATTTCAAGAAGCGCTCTCAGACTCAATAGGTAGAAGGTATATCTATCAATGGAGAAGTTTTGAATAACTTACGTTTTGCACACGATACAGTAATAATTACGGATAACAACAATGATTTACAGAACCTAATGCAACGCCTTAATGAACGCTGTCATGAGTACGGACTGAAGATAAATTTAAAGAAAACTAAATGGATGATCATGACTAAATCTGCACATGCAAATATCCAATTGACTATTGAAGATACTGCAATTGAGAATGTTAATAACTATAAATATTTAGGAACATGGATAACATCAGATGTAGACCAAACCAAAGAAATTAAGACACGTATTGAAATAGCACGTACATCATTTATTAAACTTAAAAAGTTTCTTTGTTGTCGGGATATAAGGTTAGAACTACGCCTGAGAATGCTTCGATGTTACGTGTTCTCTACTCTTCTTTATGGTCTGGAAGCTTGGACACTAAAACAAGTTCATCTGAATAAGCTGGCCGCCTTTGAATTTTGGTGTTACAGAAGAATCCTACGAATATCATGGATTCAAAGAATGTCAAACATAGAAGAAACTAGAAGGATAGGAAATGAGGCGGAAATAATATTAACTATTAAAAGATGAAAACTTGAGTATTTGGGACATGTGATGAGAGGGCAAAAATACGCATTATTACAACTTATTATGCAGGGCAAAATCCGGGGAAAGCGAAATGTGGGAAGACGAAGAATATCGTGGCTTAAGAACTTCATGGAATGGTTTGAATGCAGTAGTACAGAACTATTTAGAGCGGCAGTAAACAGGGTACTCATAGCCATGATGATTTCCAACCTTCGATAGAAGATGGAACTTAAAGAAGAAGAAGTGAACGCATGGTTAACGATCATGTCATGATCATATAGTTAATGATCATATCGACGAGTAGTATGGCTGATTATGCCAATATATTTTTAAATTCAGTAGAGGCCCCGTAATTCCAACATTTTTAAACTAGATTTTCATCGACCAACCAAAAATATATATCTTTAGCTTCTCAGAATATTTAATAACACACATGTTGTAAGCTGTTATTTGGTGCAGCATTTGGTGCTATTTTTAATGTTGTCAAGCTATTTCTCAGTCACATCGGACGTTTATAAAAGAGTTTATAAAAGAGAGGAATGCACATATAATATATTTTAAACAAAATACAAACCTTAGCTTCGTGAAGCACAGGAACACCATATACATCCTCGGGATCAACCTTCCCCCAACCCATAACAGAGCACACCTGCCTCGTCTTTGGTTTTCTAGCGGGAAGGCACGCGATTGGTGTATTGACTGCTCTCGGTAACATTAGCAATGCGATGTCGTTATCTACAGTTTTATAGTTGAATTTGGGATGAGGAAACATCTTGTAGACTGTCATTTCGACGTCACTTCCATCTGTGGCTCTGAGATCATGTGCGTTGAGTCGAACTCGTAAGTATCTTCTGATGCAGTGGTTAGCTGTGAGGACCCAGCGATTAGATATGAGGGTGCCCCCACAGAAAACTTCCTATAAAAATAAAAAACAATTGTGAACTATAAGTACGCAAATGAAAATTTAATAAGACATTGAACAAGATTATAGAACAAAATGGAAAAAAATATAAACCTTATGAATACATTTAACTTGACTTTAACTTACCAGATAACAAACTGAACGGAAGGAGAAATGTAGCACGCTCAATAATTAATAAATGTGTAGTGTTAGGACATTTGTTAAAGAGACTAATACATTTAACGTAAAGGTAGGATAATAGATATTCCAAAGTGACTCCTGGGGATTAGTTTATTAATGTTAAAGTTAGTTTAGTGTTAGTAAATATGACTATGATAAATTATCCTAGTAGATAATATTTCACTGTCAGTGGGAACAGGCTGTGAAAGAAAAAGGTCTACAGCTTGAGAAGACCAAGAAAACCAAATGATACATACCCTAAATTGATTCAAAATAGCGACGTGCCAAGGCCATTTGTACTTTCTCGCTTCTATTCCACCTATAATTTTTAGCATTTTAGACTTTCTTGCAGGTACGCCGCATCTTCGATTTCGTCTTCTTTTCCTGGGCTGCCTTTGTGTAATGTTTTGGTTGTTACTGTCGTAATGGTACCTTCTTGCATCTAGAAATGAGTACATCTTTAATTAATAAGTCGTTAAAATTACGCAACATGAATATGGTGGTGGATAATTACTCGAATCAAAACATCAAGACAATTCACTTGAACTGTGTCATTCGATAGTTTTATTGTATGTGCTATGAAGAGTGCGAAGACTTTTCTCTGTGTAGTCACCAAATTAGTTTGATATTGAAAATGGAGTTAGACAAGGTGATAACTTATCAACAACATTTTTTAATCTAACATTAGAAGCTGTTGTTAGAAAACTGGATTTAACACAAGATCCATGCAAATATGCTCATATGCGGATGATTTTGCCATAAGAAGCCGCAACAAACGGGTAAGCCGGTACAAGTGAAAAAGTTATAGAATTGAAACGAGAAGCTGCTACGTTTGGTCTAAATATAAATGAAAGCAAAACAAAATATATGGAGCGCACAAAATCGAATCACATGAGAATCTGAAGGTAGACAACCATACCTACAAATATGCCTCCACTTTTCCCTACCTAGGCTCAATAATAAATGACAACAACAAAATCAGTCAAGAAATACAAGCACGGATTCTTAGCGATAATAAGTGCTTTTATGCATACAAAGACTTAATGAAAAGTAAGTTACTGAATCGTAAGTCTAAGATTAGAATCTACAAAATAGTAATTAAACCAGTGGTCACATATGAATGTGAAACGTGAATCCTCTCAACCACTGATGAAAATCAACTGAGAATATTTGAGCGCAAAATACTAGGGAAGATATTTGGACCAACCCAATGCAGCGATGGTTTGTGTAGAATTAAAATGAACCACGAGCTGGATGAACTAATGCAGAGCGCAGATTTGTAAAGTCACAGAGACTAAATTGGCTTGGTCACCAAGAAATAATGCCAGATAATCGAGCTGTAAAATAGTCTAGAGATGGAAGCCCCAAGAAATCAGAACAAGAGGAAGGCCCCTTAAAAGATGGATAGACAACGTAGAGAGGGATCTTAAAACCATGAACATCAGGCAGTGGCGAAGGAAAGTATCCGACAGGGCAGAATGGAAGAACATTGTTAAGCAGGCCAAGATTCACAAAGAGTTGTAACGCTATTAGAAGAAGTCACCACATTCGTTAAACTCCTTTCACAAAAATGATCTTCATATTTCTCTTGATCCCTCTGAAAGCTTATTTCCTTTCTGCTTCCTATAAACTGTTCATATATTTATGGTTGACATTTTTATGATGGTTTTGATATACACAGTTTTATATAGTTCTTTTTTTCATTCACAACCAAAAAAAGTGTTAATATCTTAAGTTTGTATCTAAAATCTGTCATTGAATGGATTCACTATAATAATTAGGAATTTATCAAATACCTGCCAAAAATAGATAAACAATGCAGACAGGTTAGTCGTTTGACCACAGTTTGAAATAGAACCACTTACCATTATTCCTGCTTTGTTCTAACAGGTTTAGAACGTACACCTCGCAATTGGTTTTACTGTGATAACAGTAAGCATGCTCCTTCTGCACTTGCTTTCCGCATCTACTAGGTTTCTTACATTTCCTATTTCTGAACGTTCTGCAGTTTCTGTTGCATGGCGACCATTCACTCCACCGACTCCAGATATCTGAAGGAGCTTGTTTCATCAGGTAGTTGCTGTTCTGAAAGAAAATGAACTTTAAAATATATAAGTTACAAAGTAAATGTAATAGATTGTAAAAATTACTGATTACTTTTTATATGTCCAGTACCTTCACTAGTGCTTTAATCACTCGTGACACGATGCATGGTTTTGTCGAAGGAGATCTTTCTCTTCTTCGTTTATGGTCTTTTTTATCTTAGATTCACTGATATTTTCTGATACTTCTAGAAGTTCTCAATATTTGATACTAAGTTTGAAAAATTAAATTTTAATTTAAATCCTTAAATTTTTATTTCCGCTGCATCCTGCATTCTGCAATTGCAATTCTACATCTTCCATTCAATAATGAGACTAATATACTTAAGGCCTATATCAGAATACTATATGTTCAGAAGACGTCATCCATGCCGTATTTTTGATTTCATATAATATGATGTAATGATGGTACTTGCCTACTTTTTAATTTCAAAGCAATTATGTCTTTGCACCACGTTTAATTTAAGAACGGACTTTTTTGTTACACCTTTGACCACCATACCACTGAAGCATATGTTACTGTTGATTTCCAAAAAATAAATAGACTTACCACATCTAAATGAACAATCTGAAACTTTTCCTTCTGTTTGTTTTTTCTTTTACATCTTTTTTTGTTACAAGGCCTTTCTTCGTATATCCTCGATCCGTCACAAGTAGGACTAATACATTCCTTCATTCTTCTCTGCAGACAGTGTGAGCATCTACTCCAGAACGACCAATCTGAGTACTCTTGGGTGTGGTTGTTGTAGTTGTGCCGAGGAGTGTCGAAGAACATGCTGTCCAATTCAGAGTCTTTGGTCCAATTTTCGTGATGGTGATTACTTGATTTCTAAAACATAAATAAACTAAGTTAACTGAAACACGTAAATCAATTAGTGCTATAGTTTTATTTATAAAAGTTCATACGACTAACATAGTTGGAAACCCAACGTAATTTTTATTGTTAATTAATTTGGTCTACCTTAGGCCTCCTAGCTAACGCCATTCCTGTAGATAGACGTCAATGTCAAAGAAGACCCTCGAAGTCCTGATACCATAACCAACGAATATAGATACATATAAAAGCAAACTTCAACATAGTTTTTGGTAAATGCTCTGACGGAACATCTTACTTCTGTTTTATCAGCATTAGGGAGCGCTCATGTAATCCTCCCTTTATCGCCGCACTGTCTCTCTTCAACAATCTACTTCTTCTCTTCTTCTTCAGCCTGTGTTCGTCTACTGCTGGACATAGGCCTCTTCCATTTGCCTCCATCGATTTCTACTTTTGGCAATTCTCATCCACTGCTTGCCCGCGACTTGTTTGATATCGTCTGTCCACCTCTTCTGCGGTCTGCCTACTCCTCGCCTGTTCTCTCTTGGTCTCCAGTTTGTTATCTTTGTGTCCATTTTTCGGGATTATCTCGGGCAACGTGTCCGACCCATTGCCACTTGAGCCTTGCAATACGTTCTGAGACATCAGTAATTTTTGTTCTTTCACGAATGACGTTATTTCGAATCCTGTCTCTCAAACTAATCCCTAGCATGGACCTCTCCATTGCTCTTTGGGTTGTACTGAGCTGCTCTAAGGTTTTCTTTGTGAAGGCCATGGTCTCCAGTCCATATGTAGTTACAGGCAAGATACATTTGTCATAAACTCTACGTTTTAGACACATTGGTATATCTTTATTCTTCAAAATAAAGCTTAATTTGCCGAAAGCTCCCAAAGACAGTTGTATGCGTCTTTTTATTTCGGCTATTTGATTTTCTTTGCCGATTTTAATGGTATGTCCAAGATATATATAGTGGTCTACATTTTCAAGACTGACGTTGTCAATAACAAGATTAGTTTGTAAATTACTCATTATTTTTGTTTTCTGAAGGTTCATTTTGAGACCTATTTTATTTGACTGCTGGTTTAATTCCTTCAACATTTGCTCCAGTTCCTTGATATCTGTACTAAATAATACTATGTTATCCGCAAACCTCAAATGACTCAAACGTATACCATCAATGTTCAAACCTTTTTCCTCTAAGTCAAGCTGTTTGAATACATTTTCCAATGCTAAGGTAAAGAGCTTTGGTGAAATAGTATCACCTTGTCTAATACCTTTATCAAGGCGCATTTTTCCAGTTTTTTCGTCTTCATTGATTTTGATGTGGAATGTGGCCTGTTCATAAATGTTTTTAATGAGTGTAATGTACCGTGAGTCTATTCGAACATCCTTCAGGGCTGACAAAAAGGACCAAGTCTCAATACTATCGAAAGCCTTGTGAAAGTCGATAAATGCCATATGTAAAGGTACATTATATTCTGTGGTTTTTTTCTACTAGTGTTCTGATGGTTTGTAAGTGATCATTAGTACCAAACCCTTTTCTAAATCCCGCCTGTTCAATCAATCTACTACTGCTTCTGAAATATCAAAGAGTGGGGCTGGAAATGTTCAGCCTTTAATTTTTAAAATGTGCTATGAAATCCTACTCTGTACCATACCTAGTGACCTTGATTATGAAGACTTTATCCTAGAACACTGGTACACATTAGGCTCGAAGGGTCCGTTGCTCAGGTGGATTATGGGCGGGTTCGTTGTGTTAGGTGTGAAGCTAATACCAAATAGAGTAGTTAGAAGTAAAAAATGTACATTCTTTGCCCTAAGTTGTTAATATAAATTTTAAAAATTCACCGTAGGCACAGCAAGAGGCATAGATGTTTTAGTTATTGAGGTTCATAAAACTCCAAAAACTTGTTAAATACCTGGCGGAGTCAAAGTTCCCAACGGGTACTTTTGTGCCTTATTTATCTGTAGTAGAAGAATAACCCACGTTTCTCGGTAACGTCCTTGTTCTGTGACCGTATAAATGATTCTAAATCGTTAAGTGAGTTTTGTTGTTTTTTTCGCTTAATTTAAAATTAATTAGTTATAAATTATTAATTTCTTTATTGATGAAAAAGTTGACCTACGTCGTCGATTAAGTTTACTATACGAGTATTATATAAATATTTTTTCATTTATGTCTCTTTAATTGGCAATTATAATTTCTTTCTATCAAAACTGTCATAAAAATTCAAAAATTTAACGTTAGACAATACGACTTTACTAATAACGGGCTTGTCAGTCTAATAGTGATGTAAGTTTCTATACGCAGAATGTTAATGGATTTTTTAAATATTTATATAAACAGTGCTTTTGTGTTCTGTTTAGTTCCAGCATGTTACTTCAGATCCTTGCTACCTAATATTCCTTTTTCTTGTTTTTGCATTACAAATGGCACATATGACATGCAAATTTTTATGTCCAGCTGGTTCCTAAAAAAACTGACACGCCTCTTAACCCTAGAACAACAACGTGAAAGTAGGGTTACGATACTAACATTGTGGCATCTTATATGACTCCAAAAGAACTGGCGGTAAAGCATAACAAAAGCACATTATTTTTTAAATAGTGTTTTTATTTTTGGTTATAAACATATATATTCATAAATTTTATACGAAAATGTTTTTGCATAAATAACAAATGAGAAACTTAAAATAAAACTGTGGTACTATGGTCTGTTTTTTAACCAGGAGGAGTAATTCAAATTTTCCGCGCCGTAATGCTTGTTTGCAATTGGTCCAACCGCAGGCAAGTTTACTCCACTAAATTATGACATATTGACACTAATGACATTTGTGAAATTTATTTATTATTATTATTTTCCTCTAATATATAAATCGATTTCTGACTCTTTGTAATAACTTGGACTTTGATGATATTCGAATAGTATTTAATGTGATATTTTTCTAGATGATATTTATACTAAATATAGTTTAAAGTGTTTATAAATTTATAAATGTGTGTTATTTATATCTAATTATCATAAGAAAAACGGCAACTATCTTTTAAATTTAGTATTTTAAATCTCACAGAAATCCAGTATTTTTTAGTAAATTTTATTTGTTGATAACAAATAGGACAAACTCGCTGTCAAAATTAAACAAGAATCCAGCATTAAAGAAATTGTAAGTACACACTTATTTATACAAAATATCTGGTAAGAAAAATAAACTAGATTCAAGAAATTGATCATACCAGAATAAGAATATGGTCTACTATTAAAAGACAAATTTCTGAGAAAAACCATACTTAGATCTGTAACATTATTGACTCTCCCGATCAAAATATTTTCTAAATTATAATTAAATACCATAGTCTTAACAGATCTATAAAACTGGATCACTCGATATTTAAATAAATATACATGGGACCAAATGTGAAAAACGTCCTTTTTTGCAAAGGAATATTGTAATATATATTGGAAGTGAATTGAAAAAAATTATTTTATTATTCAAACATAAATAAACAAAGTTAGGTTATTGGTTGTCCAATATTGATTACTCGATTACCGCAAGGCCGAGATAATCAACAAAAAAAGAAGATGTATTTGGTGACTTTTCTAGTAACTTTCTTGAGTGTGAATCTGTCTTTTTGGTTTACTCCTCCTGGTTAAAAAACAGAGTATAGATAAAAGCATGATACTATGAATAACAAGATAGGATCTTCCTGTAGCTCAAAATCGGTCGGGTTCGCGCATGCCGTTATTGGAGAGTAGAATTTAAAATCTTGTTAAAGTTAAATGGGATTTGTATGCATTCTGTGATGAAATTACTAGACGAAAATAAGTTAAGAGGTTTAATAATTACAATAATCGTACACATAAGGATATCTCAAAACTATTTATTAAAGATTATTTATTGATATATACAAAAAACTGACATTTCGAACGTGCAACTCTCCAATGACGTCACAAAAACATGCGAAATATCTTATAGTCATAGTATCATGGATAAAAGTATAAAAAAATATTGACGATAGTTTTGTTGACAAAATGCGACAACTAAACAATTTTTTTTATATGTAATGACACATAACAAACCAAAGGATACACTTTTATAAACAAAAAGTAATTGACTTGCAGTCACTGCAAATGCACACCGGTGTTCGGCGCAGACCATTTACGGGCAGTGCTCACATTTATCGCGCGCTTTTCGGTTTTTGCTTCTTGGGCAAAAGTCACAGCGATACCTTGGGGCTTTTGTTCTATTATTTCTTCATCTTAAAATTTAAAATGTCTTTGATACTGCTGCGGATTTGTCTTGGCAACTGATTATTATACATTCGTTCTTTTAAACAATCTTTAACCAAAACGAACGAGAGCTCCTTTAGAAAGTTGATCGATACAGTGGTTTACTAACATTTAGTTTATGTATGGCATAACTGTTGACTCCTGCAATATCCAACATGCCACAGAAAATTCGCAATGGCCTGCAAGTTTTTCTGGCGACTGTTGATAAATGTCAGTTGATCAAACGTATCTACTACACCTTTCGTACTATTGTAGAATAAGATTATCTCTGGCTTTTTCGATTCTTCATCTACATCATCCTGAGTATGCATAGACGATAAAAGAATGACTTTTTATTATTATTTTTTTTTTTGGAACGAAAAACACTAAAGTGTTTTTCTCATCAAAAGAATAAAGATGATGAAACTTACTTTCCTTTTGTTTCAATTAGTTGTTATATTATTGTAGTATTTCTGGCTTGTTTTTTATAAGCGTTCCTACTACAGTAAGGCCTTTTTCTCTTCCACCTTTTGCACTTTTTAACACTTCCGATACTTGATACGAAGTGAACCAGTTATCAATGATGCAATTCCTATTGGTTTCATATACAGGGTGGTGAATCGTCAAACGGGCCATAGGAAACTCAAGGGGAAATTCTAAATTGTTGAATTCCTGCTTCCCTAATTATTTTACACCAAAATTCATGGGAAACTATTTTTAGAGGACTCAAATATGTATCGTCCAAAT